AAAGCCCTGGCTGGGATGATTTAACTGGGAATTGGTCCTGCTTCGAGCAGGGGGTTGGACTAGATGACCTTCTGGGGTCCCTTCCAACCCTGATATTCTATGATTCTATGAACTTACTGGTTCAGCAGGTGCAGAATGACAGTTGAAACTGCCTTTGGCCGTTTGAAGGGCCACTGCTGTTGTTTACTCACAATATTGGACTTCAGTGAGAAAAATATCCCAATGGTTCTAGCTTTCTGCTGTGTCCCGCATAATATACATGAAGCAAAGGGGGAAACATTTCCCCTGGGCTGGAGGGCGGAGGCGGAGCAGCTGTCTGCTATTAGAAGAGCTCGATGTGGAGCTACATGGCCAAGGGAGGCTTTGACAGATCTTTTAACAGTGAGCCAGAGTGGCGTGTGCTGTTGCAGTGTGTTCTACCTGGCCCTGCTCTTTTGTGGTCTGGTAGGAGCTGAGTGGCAATAGCTGTACACGCAGAAATATAACATTGTCAATGCACCTGTTAATTGTGTTTGTGACTGATCCTATGAGTTGTGTGACACTGTGCAGTAATGGGTAACTGGTGGCTTTCAGAACTGCCGAGCACTCAGCAGCATATGTTGTGAAATAATAAAGACGAATCGTGTTCCAAATAATATAATTTTATGTTGTAACAAAATCAGTGCAAAAAATCCTGTGCAATTTAAAAACAAATACATTAAAAAGGTAATAAAACTCCCACATGGGAGCTGTGGGAGTGGTGCCTGAAGGCGCGAGGGCAGTGCACAGAGTCTCACTGGCCATCCATGAACCTAGGGGCTGTGGAGACCTGGTGGCCGCTTCCTGGGAACCCCACACCCACACCTGCACCCCAACCCCCTGCCCCATCCTGGAGCCCCCTCCCACATCCAAACTCCCTCCTGGAGCCTGCACCCCACAACCCCCCACACCCCAACCCCCTGCCACAGCCCTGAGCCCCCTCCTGCACCCCAAACCTCTCATCCCCGGCCTCAGCCCAGAGCCCACACCCCCAGACAGAGCCCTCCACCTCTCCTGCATCCCAACCCCCAGGCCCAACCTAGAGCCCTCTCCTGCACCCTGAACCCCTCATTTTTGGTCCCAACCGAAGCCTGCACTCCCAGCCCAGAGCCCATATCCACCCGCATCCCAACCCCCTATCCCAGTCCTGAGCCTGCTCCTGCACCCCAAACCCCTCATCCTCAGCCCCACCCCAGAACCCACATCCCCAGCCAGAGCCCGCACCCCCTTCTGCACTCCAAACCCCTCGGCCCCAGACTGGAGACCTCTCTTGCACCCCAGATGCCACAACCCTGGCCCCATCCCAGAGCCCGTACCCCCAGCAGGAGACCTCACCCCCCCACACCCCAACCTCCTGCCCCAGCCCAGAGCCCTCTCCCATACCCTGAACCTATACCTCCCCACACCCCAAATCCCTGCCCCAGCAAGCAGCCCTCTCCCCACGCCAACCCTCATCTCTGGCCTCACCCCAGAGCCTGCACCCCCAGCCAGAGCCCACACCCCTCCTGCACCCCAATTCCCTGCCCCAGTCCCAAGCCCCATCCCAGAGCACACACAACCTCCTGCATCCCAACCCCCTGTCCCATCCCTGAGCCCACTCCCACACTCCAAACCCCTTGACTTCAACCCAGAGCCTCCCCCTGCACCCCAAACCCCTTATCGCCAGCCCCACTGCAGAGCCTGCACCCTCAGCCAGAGCTCTCACTCTCTCTCACACCCCAACACCCTGCTCCAGCTTAGAACCCCTTCCAGCACCCTGAACCCCTCGTTTCTGGCCCCACCACAAACCCCGCATGGCCAGCTGGCACTGTCACCCCCTCCCGCAACCCAACCCCCTACCCCAGCCCAGTGAAAGTGAGTGAGGGTGGTGGAGAACAAGCAACAGAAGAAGGGGAGCTGGAGTGAGTGGGGGTGTGGCCTCATAGATGGGGCGGGCCACAGGCGGGGCCTCAGGGAAGGGATGGGGCAGGGCAAGGGTGTTCGGTTTTGTGCCATTAGAAAGTTGGCAACCATAGTTCCTGGGGCTTGGACTGTTGGGTAGCGGTACCTGCAGCCCATGTACAGCGGGAAGAAGATCGTTCTCAGCTCTAACTATTCTCCCAGTACCCGCCTCCCTCAGTTCAACACCCCATTCCTGCCCTGAAACCTACCCACGCTTTTTGTACCACCTCAGCTCTACTCCCCCACTATATCCCCTCACTGTATTGCCTCATTTCTATACCCCATCTCCCCTCATCTCTACACCCCCACTGTAACCCCCTCATTTCTACACCCCCTCCCCTCTCAGCTCTACTCCCCCACTGTACCCCCCTCATTTCTACACCCCATCCCCCTCAGCTCTACTCCCCCATTTTATCCACCTAATTTCCACTCGCCATCCCCCCTCACTGTACTCCCCTCATTTCTACACCCCACCCCTACTCAGCTCTACTCCCCTCATTTCTACACCCGGTCCCCCTCAGCTCTACTCCCCCACTGTATCCACCTCATTTCTACACCCCATCCCCCCTCACTGTACTCCCCTCATTTCTACACCCCACCCCTACTCAGCTCTACTCCCCGACTGTACTCCCTTCATTTCCACACCTCATTAGCCTCCGCTCTACTCTCCCACTGTATCCACCTCATTTCTGCACCCCCATCCTCCCTCACTGTACTCCCCTCATTTCTACACCTGATCCCTACTCAGCTATTCTCCCCCACTGTATTCCACACATTTCTACACCCCATCCCCCTCAGCTCTACTCCTCCACTGTATCGACCTCATTTCTACACCCCCATCCCCCTTCACTGTACTCCCCTAATTTCTACACCCCATCCCTTTCAGTTCTATTCCCCCACTCTATCTCTCTCATTTCTGCACCCCAAGAGTTCTACTCCCCCACTCTAGCCCTCTGATTTCTACACCCCATCCCCTTCAGCTCTTCTCCCCTCATTTCTACACCCCAACCCTACTCAGCTCTATTCGCTCACTGTACCATCCTCATTTCTACACCCCATCCCTCTCAGCTCTACTCCCCCATTGTATCCACCTCATTTCTACACCCTATCCCCCTTCACTGTACTCCCCTCATTTCTACACCCCATCCCCTTCAGCTCTACTCCCCTATTGTACCTCCCTCATTTCTACACCCCACTGTTACTCAGCTCTACTCTCCTACTGTACCCCCTCATTTCTACATCCCATCCTCCCAGAGCTCTACTCCCCCACTGTAATCCCCTCATTTCTACACTCCATTCCCCCTTAGTTTTACTCCTCCACTGTATCCCCAGTCAATATGGGGATAGTTGAAATCCCCCTTTATTATTGCTCCTTAAGACTGCTCCTAATTGAACATCTTCAGCTCCAGCCAGACCTTGGAGGAGTCAGATTACCTAGCCTAGCCACTGTGTCCTTGTTTGCCAAGGACTGCAGCCATCAGGCCCCTAGGCTGAGACCCCCAACCGACCCCAGCTTGTTTCACAAGGGTCGCTCCAAAACTGGGCTGGATGGGAATATGGATTTCTTACCACATTCCTCAGTGAATGCTTTCACTACAGAACCTGGACCACATACTGACTGAGGAATGGACAGCTAAGTCAGCCAGGCCCACAGGATAAGTGTTAGTAATTTTATTTATTATGATAACAAAGCCCTAGCTGGGCTGACACTGGCTGCTCTGAGCATAGGCGCTGACTCCGTGGGTGATCTAGGGCTAGAGCACCCACAGGGGAAAACTGGTGGGTGCTTAGCAAACACCGGCAGCTCCCTGCCCCGCCCCAGATCACCTCCACCTCCACCTCCTCCCCTGAGCGTGCGGCGTGTCCGCTTTTTCCCCCTACCTCCCAGGAACTGCGGCCAATGGGAGCTGCTGGGCCAGTGCCTGAGAGTAGCAGTGAGCGGAGACCACACCAACCACCCACCTAGGAGCTGCTGCTAGAGGGGTGTGCGAGTCGCTTTCGGGAGCTGCCCGAGGTAAGTGCCGCACCCCTCTCCTGCACCCCAACTCCCTGTCCCATCCCAGAGCCCGCACCCCCTCCTGCACCCCAACCCCCTGTCCCAGCCCAGAGCCCACCCCCAAACTCCCTCCCAGAGCCCGCACCCCCTCCTGTACCCCAACCCCCTGCCCCAGCCCAGAGCCCACCCCCAAACTCCCTCCCAGAGCCCGCACCCCCTCCTGCACCCCAACTCCCTGTCCCATCCCAGAGCCCGCCCCCAAACTCCCTCCCAGAGCCCGCACCCCCTCCACCCCCCCTGCCAGTACCCCAACCCCCAACCCCTCCCAACCCCCCCCCCCCCCCCCCGCCCCAGCCCAGAGCCCACCCCCCAAACTCCCTCCCAGAGCCCGCAACCCCCTCCTGCACCCCTGCCCCAGCCCAGAGCCCACCCCCAAACTCCCTCCCCGAGCCCGCACCCCCTCCTGTACCCCAACCCCCTGCCCCAGCCTAGAGCCCGCACCCCCTCCTGCACCCCAACCCCCTGTCCCAGCCCAGAGCCCACCCCCCAAACTCCCTCCCAGAGCCCGCACCCCCTCCTGCACCCCAACCCCCTGCCCCAGCCCAGAGCCCGCCCCCAAACTCCCTCCCGGAGCCTTGGGAAGGTGTGTGGGGGACGGGACGGGGCGGGGCGGGGCTTGGACCCACTCTGGGCACCACCAAAAGCCGTACGAACCTGCCAGCCCTGTGCGCCGGCTGGGAGGCGAGAGGGACCCAGTCACCGACCCCATCGCGGTGGGGGGGAGGGAGACACCCAGTGAGTGACACCGTCGCCAAGGCGACGCTCTGGGGCGGTTGACGGGTCACTGACTCCGCCCCCGGGGCTACCCACGCGCAGTCGGACTCCGCGAGTTTCCACCCCGCTCGCGCCGGGCCGCTGCCGCCGGCACCCGCCCATCTTAGCCACGTGACCCCCTCCCCGTCCCCCTCCCCCGGAGGCAAGAGGCCCTTCGGCCCGGCAGGGCAGAAGCGGGGGTCACGTGAGAGGAGGCGTTCCGGCGTCGTCAGGAGAGGCCGCGCGTGCGCCCGGACCCGGACCCGGACCCGAACCCGAACCCGAGGCTCGCCGGCTTCCGTTCGCTGCGGGCCCGGTACGTGGAGCTGCCGGTGGGGGTCGGGAGGGTCGCCAGCGAGGGGCCCCGGAGGGGCGGGGCGGGGCCGCGGGCGGGACTTCGCTGGGGCGGGGCGGGCAGACTCGGTGGCTGGGGCCGTCCCTTCCCCCGCCGCCTGCGGGGGGAACGAGAGCCGGGGAGCCTAGGGCGAGAGCTGGGCGCCCCCAGGGGAGCCTGCGGGGAGGTGTGACGAGGCCTGGGCCAGCCCCCCCCGCTCCCCCCGGCTCTGCCCCGGTCCCGCGTCTGCCCACGTCCTCAGCCCCACTGCCGGCCCCCCCTGCAGCCCCCTTGTCTCTGTCCCTGTCCCCCCTGGAGCTGCGGGGCCCCGGACAGGGGGAAGCGGGGTGCGACCCTCGCAAGTTTGGGGGCTGCTGGGCTAGAGCCTAGAAGGGGGGGGGGGTGCAGCGTGGGCCCGTGTGGGAGGGGTCACCTTTAAAAAGGTGTCAGAGGAACAGCCGTGTTAGTCTGTATTTGCAAAAAGAAAAGGAGTACTTGTGGCACCTTAGAGACTAACCAATTTATTTGAAAGCTCATGCTCAAATAAATTGGTTAGTCTCTAAGGTGCCACAAGTACTCCTTTTCTTCTTTAAAAAGGTGGTGGCAAGGAGGAGGGAGAAAAGTTCTTCTCCTGAACCTCTGAGGATAGGACACACAGCAACCGGCTTAAGGTAAACTGTCTCGCGGCCTGCCAGCGGATTATCCTGATGGGGCGCAGGTTGCCCACCACTGACCGAGTGGCTGGAAGTTAAAGCCAGACAAGTTCAAATTAGAAATGAGGAAATTTCACAGTGCAGGTGATTAAGCATAAGAACAAACTATCACGGGAAGTGGTGGATTCTCCAGGTCTTGATGCCCAACACAGTTACTGGGCTCACACTTGGGTTACTGGGTGGAATTCTCTGTCCTGTGCTATCAGGAGGTCAGACTAGCTGATCTAATGTCCCTTCTGGCCTTAAACTCTATGAATCTATGTTAGAGATGAATGTAGGGTCCCTTTTGAAGGCTAGGATTCTATTCATATCCCCCCCACGAGAGGATACAGCACTTGCTTTAGCTTTCTCAGTCTTCCTAATACTAATTACCAGAGCGAAGGGGGAACTGCAATGGTAGGAAAAGGCATGAATGTAGCCAAAATAACTTTCAGGTTTAATGTCTCACAAACTACCAAGGCTTCCTGGTGGTCTACTGGGTTCATATGACCACCCGTCACCTTCCATTCCTTAAGACCTTTTCTTCGCATGCATCAGCCTTAGTCATAAAGGCCCCACAGGCCAAATTCTCTCTTCACTTTTGTAGCTCTTGGTGGTAACTGCAAACCCACTGAAGGTAAATAGGCTGCACAGGTGTCAGTGAGGACTGAATTTGGCCTGCCCAGCCACGTACTAGTGACAGTACATGAAAAGGAAAAAGTCCAGTTTGATTCTCCCACCTCTGGGGTCAACAGGTCAGAAAACAACATTTTTACTTGCAAGGTGAGCAAGCTTGCTCTGAAGTCACTGGGAGATAACGGTCAAAATGCCATATTTACAGATTAGAGATGGACTTTGTATTTACACAGTTAGGATTATAGAATTCAGGGATTGCAAAGGTTCCTGCAGCACTAACTCAGCTCAGGGATAGAGTAGTTACCAGCAACGCTGCAGTGATGTTTCATGTGAACAAGCAAGGAGGAACCAGTTTCAGCCATCTGTGCTAAGAGGTTGTGGCTCTGTGGGAGTGGTGCTCAGTACACCAAATTTATCCTACAGGTCTCAATGTCACAGATCAGTTGAGTGGACATTTACACAATGAGCATGAGTGGCCTCTCAGGCACTCTGTAGCAAGCAATATCTTCTCCTGATGGAGGTATCCAGACATGCACCTATTTGCAACAAGACAACTCCAAATCTCAGTGGTTTTGCCTCAGCTCAGGAGCAGGTGGCCAGTTTGTCTTGGATGCATTCCTTCTAGGCTGGAGAGTAGGTCTCTGTGCATTTCCCACTTCCAGTTCTTCCAATTCAGAGAGCTCTCAGGAAAAATCAAACAAGACAAAACCATAATTATTCTGATTGCCCTGGCCTGGGCAAGATAAGTGGTTTTCAGATCAACTGCAGGAGTTTACCGGCCTCTCCTAGTAATTCCAGTCCTATTGACTCTGCAGAGAGGTTGGATTTGCCATAGAGATTCATATTTTCTCCTTTTTGACAGCATGGCTCATTGGACTTTGACACATCTGGAACTCTCCTGGTCTTAAGAATCATAGCAGATTAGGGTTGGAAGAGACCTCAGGAGGTCATCTAGTCCAACCCCCTGCTCAAAGCAGGGCCAGCCCCAACTAAATCATCCCAGCCAGGGTGTTGTCAAGCTGGGCCTTAAAAACCTCTAAGGATGGCGATTCCACCACCTCCCTAGGTAACCCATTCCAGTGCTTCACCACCCTCCTAGTGAAATAGTTTTCCCTAATAGCCAACCTACACCTCCCCCACTGCAACTTGAGACCATTGCTCCTTGTTCTGTCATCTGCCACCACTGAGAACAGCCTAGCTCCATCCTCTTTGGAACCCCCTGTGATGGGTATGATCACAGAAACCTGTTTGGGACTGTCACCTGATGTGCTGAGATTACCTCGGAGCCGGTTTTCTCTGCCAGTTTGGGCCTCCAAAACCCTGCCTTGAGCCAGACACCAGTTTGGTTCAACACAGACCCAGGGTCTGAACCACATTTCCCAAAGCTGCAGACTTAACTGAAAACAGCTTAAGAAGTGCTCCTGTCTCCAGCACCCAGACACCCAACTCCCAAATGAAATCATGGAATCCAAACCCCAAATGAATCCATTTTACTCTATATAAAGCTTATACAGAGTAAACTCAAATTGTCCACCCTCTATAACACTGATAGAGAGAGATGCACAGCTGTTTGCTCCCCCAGGTATTAATTACTTACTCTGGGTTAATAATCAAAACAGTATAAAAAGTAGGATTTAAGTGGTTCCAGGTAATAGACAGAACAAAGTAAGTTACCAAGCAAAATAAAACAAAGCATGCAAGTCTAAGCCTAATACATTAAGAAACTGATTACAGATAAAATCCTACCCTCAGATGTTCCAATAAGCTTCTTTCACAGTCTGGACTCCTTCATAGTCTGGGCCCAATTCTTTCTCCTGGTACAGTCCTTGGTAGCTCCAGCTCAGGTGGTAACTAGGGGATGTCTCATGACTGGAGCCTCCTTTGTTCTGTTCCACCCCCTTATATAGCTTTGGCACAAGATAGAAATCTTTTGTCTCTCTGGGTCCCCACCCCTCCTTCTAAGTGGAAAAGCACCAGGTTTAAGGTGGATTCCAGTACCAAGAGACTGGGTCACTTGTCTTGTGAGACCCCGAGCATTCATTCTTCCTGGCCTGACCCACAGGAAGTAAACAGAGCCATTTACCAATTGTCCAAGTTGATGGGAGCCATCAAGATTCCAAACCACCATTAATGGCCCACACGTTGCATAATTACAAGAGGAGCTCAGAGTTATTTCTTTTTCTCGTTTCAGATACAAAAATGATACATTTATACAAATAGGATGACCACACTCAATTATAAACTTTGTAATGATACCTTACAAGAGACCTTTTGCATGAAGCATATTCTAGTAACATTGTATTCACACTCATTAGCATATTTTCATAAAGTCATATGAGTGCAACATCAGCTCCCCGCCCCCCCCTTTTCAGGTAGTTGAAGGCTGCTATCAAATCCCCCCCTCACTCTCCTCTTCTGCAGGCGAAATAAGACAAGTTCCCTGAGCCTCTCCTCATAAGTCATGTACTCCCAGCCTCCCTAATCATTTTCATTGCCCTCCACTGGTCTGTCCAATTTGTCCATTCTTTCTGTAGTGGGGGTCCCAAAACTGGACACAGTACTTCAGATGTGGCCTCACCAGTGCCTAATAGAGGGGAATAATCACTTCCCTTGATCTGCTGGCAGTGCTCCTACTAATGCAGCCCAATATGTCCTTAGCCTTCTTGGCAACAAGGGCACACTGTTGACTCATATCCAGCTTCTCATCCACTGTAATCCCCAGGTCCTTTTCTGCAGAATTGCTGCTTAGTCAGTGGGTCCCCAGCCTGTAGCAGCGCCTAGGATTCTTTGATCCTTGTTGAACCTCATCAGATTTCTTTTGGCCCAATCCTCCATTTTGTCTAGGTCACTCTGGACCCTATCCCTACCCTCCAGCATATTTACCTCTCCCCCCAGCTTAGTGTCATCTGCAAGCTTGCTGAGGGTGCAATCCATCCCATCCTCTCGATTAATGTTAATGACTATGTTGAAAAAAACGACCCCTGGGACACTCCGCTTGATCCCGGCTGCCAATTAGACATTGAGTCGTTGATCACTACCCGTTGAGCCTGACAATCTAGCCAGCTTTCTGTCCACCTCATAGTCCATTCATCCAGTCTGTACTTTAAGTGGGGCAGGAGGTTCCACTACACTCCAGGAAACATTCAGCTTGTCAGTGTTAGGATCATAAGTTGAAAAGGGTCTCCATGTGGGCATCTAGCAAGGATAAACCCAGATTCAGCTTCTCTTCAATCCACATTGGAGTGCTTGCACCATCTCTCCATACAGTTAGTAGCATCTCACAGTTCTTGCTGCTCATCGTGCATTGGTTGGACAAAGGACTGTGTTCAGCCACAATTTAGTTAAGACGTTTCTGAAGAGGTTAATGAATGTCTACCCTCTGCTTAGGGAGCCCACACTGATGTGGGACCTCAGTCTTGTACTAACTCAGCTCCCCCCATACACACACAGCCCCTGGTGCTCTCCTGAGCCTCTTTCAGTTAAGAAACTATGAAGACTGAGTGAGCTGCAGGCTCTCATGGTTGCCTTATATGGTCATTCACAAAAATAAAGTGTCTGTCCTCCAGCCATATTGCTCCCCAAGCTAGACACAAAATTCCATCTTAACCAGTCCATAAACTTGCCCATATTTTCCCCTAGACCTTGCTCTCCCTCAGCTAAGCTGCTCACCTTGGATGCTAAGAAGTCATTTGGCTTTCTATTAGAATAGCTCTAAGGAGTATAGGGATTCACCTAGACTCTGTCTCTTACGGCGTGTCACAGGGTCACTCACCACACTGATGCCTCCTGCTAGGCGTTTTGGGAATTAGCTCAGGCCCCGTGGGTGAACCGGGTGGTGGTGGCTCTCCTGTCTTTGCCTCCACCTGCAGACCCATTATGGCTCCTTTCTCTCAGCGTCTGCTTCGTGGCACAGTCCTCTGGCCATGTCACCATCCGGTTTCCGCCTCTTCTGGGGGGAGTCCTCCAACAAGAGTTCAGCCACCCCTCTCAACTGCTTGGCAGTCCACAGCTGGGCTGCTCCTTCAGCAGCTGGCAGGGAGGGGGGGACAGGTCTGCCCACTACTCCAGGCCCCGGGACCCTGCAAACAGCAGCTTCCTGCTGCCTCTTCCTTCCAGCTCACTGTCTCTATTCCCTGGGCCACTTCTCCACAGCCTCAGTTCCTTCTGCTCCTGCCTCAGGGCAAAGGAGCTGGTGCCACTTCCCAGGGCCTCAAGCCTGTAAGTCCTGGCAGCCCACCAGGAGCCCTCTAGGAAACCAGTCTTCTCCCTAGGGCTCCCTGCAGCAGACTCACAGCGGACTCACTTCTTTTTATATGGGCCGGCTGAGCCCTGATTGGCTGGTCCAGCTGCTGTCCTAATTGGCTGTTTCCCCTGCAGCCTTTCCTTGGGTTGCTTGCCCCTCAGCCTCCCTAGGCAGGTTTTAACCCTCTCAGGGCCAGTCCTGTTGGGATCCAGGAAGTGGGCGGGCACCCCGTCACATGGGGAAAAGAGAAACAATCAGGCACTCACTTCCCAATGCCTTTCCAAATAGATTAGACTCTGTAATGAGGAGCATTATAAACACGCCTGTGTTCCTCTTCCACAAGGGCACACTTGACTAGGGCGAAGGCTGCTTCCATGGCCTGCCTTATGCATATTCCTGTATTGGAGAACTTCAGAGCTGCCACCTGGTGCTCAGCACATGCTTTCCCTGGATTTTGCAGCTACGTTGGCTGCTGAGTTTGGTGAGGCAGCACTGCAGTTCTTATCTAGCTAGGCCTCCTCATCCCACTCCACTGGGGTTGTAGAGGCCACTTGCAGAACAAATGAAGGTTGCTCCCCATGTTTCTCCAAGATAGACTCTGCACGTTCACCCTCCCTGCCTGCCTGCCTTCCCTCTTGCTCAGAGTCCTACTTACAGTCAGATTTGAGGAAGTGGTGGAAGGAACTGAGCCAACCAGCACACCGAACCCCTCCTTTTATAGCGTCGCCTCTGGAGGGTCAGGGCCAGTGGTGGGAGGGGTAGTGGTACAAGAGAACTCCAATGAGCACCACTGTGAGAAGAGTCCAGCTTACAGAGCTGGCACATTCCAGAGGGGGTGAACGTGCAGAGTCCGTCTCCAAGAACTTCTTACAGGTCAGGAACCCGCCTTTCTGAATGCTGCCTGCACTTTAATTGTAGTGTGGGCAGAGGGAGTCTAGGCCAAAGGACAGGTCGGGGATTCAGGGCTTCTGGGTACTGTTTCTCTGCCACTGTCTCCGTGGGTGCCCTTGGACAAGGCATTTCATCCTGCTGTGCCTTAATTCCCCATCTTTAATATGGGGATGTTGTGCCTTGCCTCCTCCCATAGGGTTGGGAAGGTGAATTCATGTCTGGCTGGGAGGCAGCTGGGAGCACCATGGAACAGCCTAGTAAAGGGGACACTCCGTATCCACAGCTCTCTAGCCTGCAGAGCCTAAGGGCTTTGCTGGCATGTCTGGCACTGTCCTGGCACTCTGGAACAGCAGAGATAAGAGCCAGTGGCAGCACCATGTCCCACCTTACATCAGGGTTAGACACTTGCGGTGGTGACAGATGATCCTGCCAGATAGCTCTGGCCTTTGGTCGGTTGCCATGTCTCCATCACGGCACCATCTGGGTTATGCACGGGCTGTAAAAAATATGGCACAAGGGGCAGCAGAAGGGTTTAGTTGGCACCACAAGAGGGGCTTACCAGACACTGATGGTGGTGGGGAAGGGTCTGGCCATTCTGGCGTGGGAGGGAAGAGGGGCTGGCTTTTCTGGTCAGGGGCAGGAAGTGGAAGAGAGTCCGGCTGTTCTGGTGGGAAGGAGAAGAGGGGCTGGCCGCTCTGGCAGTGGGGAGAGTAGGCGACCGCTCGGGCAGGGGGGAAGAAGGACCGGCCACTCTGGCGGCAGCGGGAGGAGACAACCATTCTGGTGGAGGGCAGGGTCTGGCCACTGTGGCAAGGGGGAGTGGCTGGCAGCACATGTGAGAGTGACTGGTTATGTTCTGTGCTTGCCTTTTGCAGCAGGAGTGTGTGTTGGTGACTCTGCCACTGAAGTTGCCTCCATGGATCCTGCTGCTGTCTCACCCAGCAGCAGCTGCTCCAGTGCCTGGCTCCTTGTGCTGCTGGGGGCGCTGGGGACAGCTCTGCTTGGGGCAGCTCACAAACTGGGGCTGATCTACCAGCTTTGGCATAAGGTAAAGCTGAGACAGCTCCCCCTTTCAAATAGACTCCTGCCATGCAAGACTTAGAGAGAATGGCAAGGGATGCAGGTGGATGAGGGGAGCTTGGGTAGCATCTGCACTGAGATCCCAGGACAGATTCACTGCACTGGTGGCTACCCAGGACTATGTGCTGATGAGGCTGCTAAGTGCAGAAGTGCACATGGTGAGGCTTCCCCCCCAATATGAGCTCTCAGGAATGCCCAGGGCCCTGCACTGCTCTCCTGATTCCAAAACTAAGGTGGCAGGAGTTCCTGTGGGTTTGGTGGAAAGGTCTCCCTGTCCAGGGGGCGTTTGTGCTTGGGATATCCCATATTTGTGTGCTGGTTCCCAGGGGATCCAGCACCTGCACTGGTTGCCTCCCACGGGAGAGAGATACCAAGGGGTTTCTCTGCGTTCAAGTCCCTTGAGTAGGGCCTTACCAAATTCATGGTCCATTTTGGTCAATTTCACTGTCTGGGGGTTTTAAAATTAGTCAGTTTCACGTTTTCATATGTTTACATCTAATTTCACTGTATTGTAACCGTCAGGGTCCTGACCCAAAAGACTGGTCACAAGGCTATTGTAGGGGGGTCATGGGATTGCCACCCTTACTTCTGCCCTGCTGCTGGCAGAGGCACTGCTTTCAGAGCTGGGCAGCCAGAGCAGAACGCAGCTGTCTGGGTGCCCAGCTCTAAAGCCAACGCTGCTGCCAGCAGCAGCAGTGCAGAAGTGAGGGTCGCAGGGTATGGACGGTGGATTACCATAGGTTTGGTTTTCCAGCAGTCTCCCACCCCAGCGTGAGGATGTGACAGCTGGAGCCGTGGAGCTTCCTGCAACCAGGGGAGATCCCAGAGGTGGGTCTGACCGGCCCAGGGAGCAGCCCCTGCAGGGGAAGAGGAAGTCTCAATCCCAAGGAGTCCCCAGCTGGGTGCCAGATTTCACAGGGGAGATCATATTTCACCATCTGTGATGCGTTTTTCATGGCAGAGAATTTGCTAAGGCCCTACCCATGAGAAGAGCCCTAGGAAGCATCACACGCTGCCCACACAATAGGGACCTAGGATGCTCCTGCCTCACTGGTTCCTGCAAACAGAGCTGGGACCTGTCCATGCAGCAGCATCCCTGTACCTTGTGGCAGTGCATTCTGGGAAAGTCCAGGCTGCTGTTCAATCCTCTCTTAACAAGGGCATGTCTACACATGCTCCGGGCACTCTGAGCCGCCCCAGCAGCTCTCTGGGATACCCTATTGCCCAGAGAGCTGGCTGGAAGGAGGAGCCATGTCCGGGGGTCCCATCTGCCCTGCAGAGTCACATGGTGCCAGACTGGATACAGGCCATGTGCCAACCTAGGCTTCTTGCATGACAACTCACCATGAGCTGCCAGGGTTCCTAATCCGGTGAGGGATGGGCACACAGCATGTTCAGAGCTAACCAGGTCACTAGTTGGTTATCCCTGGGTCCCAGTGTGTGCTGGAGCTGCACCTCTGGCCGTTAGCACCATCCCTGCCCTGCACAATGTCCCCCCACAGTGTCCATGGGGAGCCACCCAGACACTGCCCCGCCGGGCTGGCACTCTGCTGGTCTGCATCTGACCCCGCCTCCTGCTATGCCAGACTGGTGCTCTGCCGGTCTGCATCCTGACCCAGCCCTTGCCCTGCCAGGCCAGCACTCTGCCTCTCTGCATCCTGCCCTACCGGGCCGGTACTCTGCCAGTCGGCATCCTGATCCAGGCCCAGTGCCCTGCTCTGCGGGCCAGGTGCTCTGCGTCATGCCCCTGCATTCTGCCCTGCCAGTCTGCGTCTGACCCGGTCCCTGCCTCCTGCCCTGCCAGGCCGGCACTCTGCTGTTTTGCATCCTGACCTGGCCCCGCCTCCTGCTCTATCAGGATGGCACTGTGCCAGTCTTCGTCCTGACCCAGCCCCTGCTCTGGCAGGCCGGCACTCTGCTGGTCTCTGTCCTGACTTGGCCCCTGCCTCCTGCTCTGCCAGGCCAGCGCTCTGCCAATCTGCTTCCTGACACGGCCTCTATCTCCTGCCCTGCCAGGCTGGTGCTATGCTAGTCTGCCTCCTGCCCTTCCCTGCTGGGCCGGCGCTCTGCCTGTCTGCGTCCTCCCAGCTCCTGCCCTGCCAGGCTGGTGCTATGCTAGTCTGCCTCCTGCCCTTCCCTGCCGGGCCGGCGCTGCACCTGTCTGTGTCCTGACCCCGCTCCTGCCCTGCCAGGCTGACTCTCTGCTGGTCTGCATCCTGACCCGGCTCCTGCCTCCTGCTCTGCTGGGCCGGCGCTCTGCCCGTCTGCGTCCTGACCCCACTCCTGCCATGCCAGGCTGACGCTCTGCTGGTCTGCATCCTGACCCGGCCCCTGCTCTGCCAGGCCAGCACTCTGCCAGTCTGCTTCCTGACTTGGCCCCCTTGCCCTGCCCTGCCAAGCTGGTGCTCTGCTGGGCTGACCTCTGCTGGTCTGTATCCTGCCCTGGCCTGCGCATTCTGTGCTGATGGGCCAGGGCTCTATCCTTCTCAGACAGAGCCAAAGAGTACCCGGCACGGAGGAGAACTTGTTGCAGAGGTCCTGAAGGCCCATGGGGTGCGCTACTTGTTCACACTGGTAGGAGGCCACATCTCGCCCATCCTGGTGGCCAGCGAGAAGCTGGGCATCCGCGTGGTGGACACAAGACACGAGGCCACAGCTGTGTTTGCTGCCGACGCAGTCGCCAGGCTCTCAGGTACACACCACACAAGGAGACCTGCCCAGGGTCTGGGGCGGAAGCTCCCCCAGCACAAGGACATTGATTGGGGTGCCCCCTGCAGGCAGGTCCTCAGAAGAGCCATGTCTTCCATAGGCATGGGCTCTGCCCTGCCCCCTCCCAGTTCATCTGTGCCCAGCTCACCTGTCAGCCTCTGCTGGTGGGAACATACTGTGACAGGCCGGCCACCATGTGGGAGTGTAGTCTGTTGGGGGGAGTGCCACCTCCCCCCCTCCGGTCCCGCCCACTAACTTCTGGCGGGAGGGTTGAGTGTGGCGTGGCTGCGCCCACCAGGGTTCAATGAGGGGCTCTGGGTCTGTGAGCGGTCAATACGCCCCACTACAGGGAGGCACAGGGGGAAAGGAACCTGGGGACCCAGACTAACTGACTCCATGTTCTGTCCTCAGCTGGGTGCAGTGAGACTCACTGTGGGACCTTCCTCCTAAGGCTGTGCCTGCCGTACTACAATGGGGCAGTGACCAGCTCACCCCACCAATGAGCGGGGCATGGTCATGGGAATGGGGCAGTGACCAGCTCACTGCTGCAATGGGCAGGGGCATGGCCGTGGGCAATGGGGCAGTGACCAGCTCTCCCCAGCAACAGGAAGGGCCATGCGCAACAGGGGCAGTGACCAGCTCAGCCGAGCAATGGGCAGATCATTGCCTGAGTTGTCTCTCTGGCTTGGGGAACAAGGCACAGGCTTGCTGGTGCATGCAATCTGGCTTCCAGCCACCTGTCCTAAACTCCCCCTTGCCACCCCCACCCGCCCCGCGGCCTGGCCTGCCCACCTGCCTGTGCTAAGGGTGCAATTCATCACATCTGCCCTGCTGTGGGCTGGCTGCTCTGCATTGCAGGGACAGTCGGAGTCGCCGCAGTAACAGCGGGACCTGGGGTAACCAACACTGTGACAGCTGTAAAGAATGCCCAGATGGCCGAATCCCCGGTGCTGCTGATCGGCGGGGCAGCTGCTACACTGCAGAAGGTGAGTCTGTGGTGCTGCCGATAGCAGGGGTTGCTGCCACACCATGGCAGGCGGGTGCCCAGTGCTGTCACACCACAGCAGGAAAACCCTTCCTGCCCCAGTCTCAGGCCACTGGAGCTGTCCAAACAGAAGGGCCATTTGGTGTGTGGAGCAGAAGTAGTCTGACGTAGACCGTGATGCGGGGAAAGAGGGACAGCCAGCCCCACTTGCATTCCTCACCCCTACCCATGGTCAGTACCACGTCCCTGTTGGCTGTGAGGTCTCATCCCTCCCAGCCCAATGATCTCTGCTGCCCCATTGCCAGACAGACACTCAGAGAGGCACGGCCCTATTAGCCGCTGTGCTTGGTCACTGGGGAGGAAGCAGCCTGGCTGGGGGCAGTGGGTTCTGCAGGACCATCGGAGCATGGACTGCAGTTCTGTCTGTCTACGCAGGGCCGGGGCGCTCTCCAGGACATTGACCAGCTGTGCCTCTTCAAGCCACTCTGCAAGTTCTGTGCGTCGGTGAGGACTGTGCGGGACATCGTCCCCACGCTGAGAAGAGCCATTGCAGCAGCACAGTCCGGCACCCCAGGTAAAAGCCTTTCTCCTGGGGCTTATCCTCCTATGCAGCAAAGGATTAATGGGCTGTTTTCCTATCCAAGTCTCACTAGGCCCGTCCCACTGCTCTCACTCCTGCTGTCAGATCAAACTCACTCGAATGTAGGTCATAGAATAATAGGGTTGGAAGAGACCTCAGGAGGTCATCTAGTACAATCCCCTGCTCAAAGCAGGACCAACCCCAACTAAATCATCCCAGCCAGGGCTTTGTCAAGCCTGACTTTTAAAACCTCTAAGGATGTAGATTCCACCACCTCCCTAGGTAACCCATTCCAGTGCTTCACCACCCTCCTAGTGAAATAGTGGTTCTTAATATCCAACCTAGACCTCCCCCACTGCAACTTGAGACCATTGCTCCTTGTTCTGTCATCTGCCACCACTGAGAACAGCCGAGCTCCATCCTCTTTGGAACCCCCTTCAGGTAATTGAAGGCTGCTATCAAATCCCCCCTCATTCTTCTCCCAGCCCTGTTTTCCCAGGTCCCAGCCCTGTTTTCCTATAGCACTGCTGGCTCCCAGGAACATTTCCCGTAGCCCCCTGCCAGGGTCCCCAGCCCAGTTCACAGAGTCCTGAACTCAATACCTCCCCATGAAACTCAATCCATGTTCCACTGTGGGTGGAACCCACACCCCAGAAGAGGTGGGGCAGTGTGACTGCTGCTGGGGAGCTGGGACCAGCCGGCACCTGGGCGGCAGTGGGGTTTATCACAGGTCGGGGCCACTGACCCTATATTTCCCCCTCTGGGGTCCAGCAGGGCGCCCCCTCTGGGCTACCAGCTCCCCATCCATCACCTCTCTTGGGCAGAGACCCGCTTCTCTCTGCCTCCCGACTGGGGTGTCCCAGGCTGCGCCGCTCCCTGCCTACACTCTGAATTACCTTGCCCTGCATATATTCACAGAAGGGACCATTGTAATCATCTGATCCCTGCATAGCACAGGCCAGAGAACTTCACTGAAACCATTCCTGCTCCCAGTCTGGTAGCTGTGTTAGTACTAGAGCACATCTCTCAGAAATGCTTCCCATCTTGATTGTAACACTGACAGTGATGGAGAATCCACCTTTGGGGAATTGTTCCAGGGGGTAATTACTCTCACTGTTAAAAAATTGCACCTTATTTCTAGTCTGAATTTGTCTAGCTCCAACTTCCAGCCCTTTGATCGTTTTATACCTTTCTCTGCTAGACTGAAGAGACCCCAGTGTCAATTTTTTGTTCCTCAGTAGGTACTTAAGAACTGCAATCAAGTCATCCTTTAATCTTCTTTTTGTTAAGCTAATTAAATTCAGCTCCTTTCATCTATCACTATAAGGCATGTTTTCCAAACCTTTAAACATTTGCGGGGCTCTTCCCTGAACCCTCTTCTGTGGCTCTTTGTATCTTTCCTCTGCATTGGAATAGCTTGTGTCTGGGCTGCCCTGACCCTGCTGGGTGATGGTGTGGGGCATTGGCATCAGCATTGGGCAGGGCCCAAGTTCTATGGGGCTTCAGCATTGGGCAGGGTTGCGCATGCCCTATGGGGTGACAGTTTGGAATGTCAGTGTTGGGCGGGGCTGGATAATTTGGGGCATTGGCATTGGACAGGGTGGGAGCCTCTGTTGCCCATGCCCTGCAGGGCAGGGATGGTACCTGGATTGCCCATGTCCTGTGGGGTGGTGGCATTGGGCAGGGAGGGAGCCTGGGTTGCCCATGGCTGGCTGACCATTGCTCTTCGTGCTACAGGCCCTGTGTTTGTGGAGTTCCCGATCAATGTACTCTACCCATACCACTTGGTGGAGAAGGAGCTCGGCTTCAAAGAGACCCCTAGGGGGCCTCTAGGTGGAGTCCTCAACTGGTGAGTACAGCCCTATCCTGCCAAGGGCAGCGCTGAGCTGGGAGCTAACAACTGTCCCTGCACCTCGCCCGCAGGTACCTATGCAACCACCTCAGGAACCTGTATGCAGGGGCCTGGGAGACAAGGGACTTCTCCCCCCTTCCCGTGCAGGTGCCACAGGCCACAGCAGAGCAGGTGAGAGCCCCTGGATTGCCTGGGGCCTGGTACTCCCTCCCTTCAGGGAGCACATCTCCTCCCCCCGTGACTGGGAGCTTTCCCCCAGAGCTCCTCATTAGCACACTGCCCTCCCCCACACAGAAAGCCCGTCCCCTTTTGGGCCCTGCCCTCAGAAGGAGAAGAGGGGTGGGGAGGAGCATTGCTGCGCTGTGGCAGGGCAGGGGGTCCCTGGGGCCCTTGTCACCCTACAGCCTTTTGGTGCCAGCACCAGTCCCTTCTGCCAGCCCTTCACCCCTCTCTGCCTGCCCCTCCCTTGGCTCTGGCACTGTCATGTCCTCAGAGCTGGGCACAGCCTCTTTCCTGCCCTCCCCTCCCCACCCCTCTGTGGTTCCTGCTAGATCCCCACTCATAGCTTCCCTGCCAGTTCCTTCCTCATCCTCATGCCGCTGGCTGAACTCTGCCCAGGAGTAGTTCCAGGGGCCATGTGACAGCTACTCAGCCATTGGCACTGACCCCACTGACTGCCCGGCCTTACCCAACCACTGACACTGACCGGCCGGCCCCACCCAGTCACTGGCAGTGCCCCCCCGGCTCTGCCAGGCTCCACCTAGCCACTGCACTGCCTCCAACCCTGCCAGGGTGCGCCCAACAACTGCACTGACCCCAGTGACTACTAGCCCTGCCAGGTTCTGCCTAGCCTTTGCACTGACCCCTGGCCTTGCCAGGCTCTGATGGTGCTTCCCATTTGTATGCAGGTGCAGCAGTGTGTGGAGCTGGTCAGCCGTGCCAAGAAGCCTGTCATGCTCCTGGGCAGCCAGGTGACCCTGCCCCCAACGCCTGTGGAGAAGCTCAGGTGAAGAGTCGGCTCCATTCAGAGTCCTCTCTCTGCCCTGCCCCTGGTTCTGCGGGGGCAGGGGGCACTGCTGGTCAGCCCTCAGGGCTCTTACCCAGCTTTTTCAGCTCTGCTCATCTGCAGGCTGGTGGCCATGGCCTATTCGACATTGGTGAGGCCTCATCTGGAGTACTGTGTCCAGTTTTGGGCCCCACACTTCAAGAAGGATGTGGATAAATTGGAGGGAGTCCAGCGAAGGGCAACAAAAATGATTAGGGGACTGGAACACATGAGTTATGAGGAGAGGCTGAGGGAGCTGGGATTGTTTAGCCTGCAGAAGAGAAGAATGAGGGGGGATTTGATAGCTGCTTTCAACTACCTGAAAGGGGGTTCCAAAGAGGATGGCTCTAGACTGTTCTCAATGGTAGCAGATGACAGAACGAGGAGTAATGGTCTCAAGTTGCAGTGGGGGAGGTTTAGATTGGATATTAGGAAAAACTTTTTCACTAAGAGGGTGGTGAAACACTGGAATGCGTTACCTAGGGAGGTGGTAGAATCTCCTTCCTTAGAGGTTTTTAAGGTCAGGCTTGACAAAGCCCTGGCTGGGATGATTTAACTGGGAATTGGTCCTGCTTTGAGCAGGGGGTTGGACTAGATGACCTTCTGGGGTCCCTTCCAACCCTGATATTCTATGATTCCCCCAGTGGCCATGTGAACACAGGGTGAGAGCCAACATCTGTCCTGGCCTGACCGAGAGACACCTGAGGGTGTCAGACCGGACAGAGGGACATTAGCAGAGCTGGAATAGTAGGGGCTGCAGGTTGGGATTGAGGGGCATCAGCAGAGTTGGATGGCACAGGGTCTGCACGGCAAGGCTAAGGTTCACTGGCAGAGCCATCTTTGGCACCTGCTTCCTCTGGTTTCAATGAGGCTGTCCTTTAATTAACAAAAATGTGTCTTCCCCCTCCACGAAACAAGCACATAGCATTTTCTCCCACCACGCATGCTCCCCGCGTGCGCTCGCGCGCTCTCTCTCTCTCTCTCTCTGTCTCTCACACACACTCACACACACACACACACAATACCTTGCTCTTCGGCTGCCATGCACCCTCCTCATGCACTGACACACCCTGCCGCGCATGTCCTCAGGCACGCTGCCGCACCGCGCCCTCCTCTCTCACACTTCCACTTGTTCAGCTTCTCTGAGGCCACACGGGCAGGGGGGCTGCGCTGGTAGCGCCCATGTTCATAGTAGTGTGAAGCGTCCCTTTGCCATGAGGTGACTCAGCTGCTGAGAGTTAACCCTTCCCTGTGCCCTGCAGGGAAGCCCTGGAGGCCCTCGGCATCCCTTGCTTCCTGGGTGGGATGGCCAGGGGCATGCTGGGAAGGGACAGCCCACTACATATCCGTCAAAACCGCCGAGAAGTGCTGAAGGAGGCTGACCTGGTCATTCTGGCAGGTCTGTGGAATGCAGCCTGGGGACTGGCCTAGAGGGTGTCTCACCTTGGGGCCATTGGACTTGGGAGTGACAGGGAGCTGGGATGGCACGTCAGTGGAGGAGGGGGTGGGGGGCTGTGGGTTGTGGGGCAGGGCTGGGAGTGAGTGATGAGGTGTTGTGGGCCTGAGGGTTATCAGTGGCATGGGGTAATGCTCAAAGTGTTGTGGGGCTGGGCAGTTGTGGGGTGGAGGAGCCTGTTGTGGGGGTGTGGTGGGTCTGGGCAGTGGCAGTTTTGTGGGTGGTAATGCTGGGGGGTTGTGGGGCGGGGTTGGGCAGTGGTGGGGAGGTAATGCTCAAAGGGTTATGGGGCTCCAGGGGTTGTGGGATGGGGGAGCCTGATGTGGGGTGTGGTGGGGCTGAGCAGTGGCAGTTGGGGGGCTAATGCTATGGGGTGGGAGGGTGGGGGAATCTGATGTTGGGTGTGGTAGGGCTGGGCAGTGGCAGTGTGGGAGGCTAATGCTGGGGGGTTGTGGGGTGGGGTGCGGGAGCCTGATGTTGAGTGTGATGGGCTGGGCAGTGGGGGGGGAGGTAATACTCGAGGCATTATGGGGCTGGGGGGCTTCTGGGGTGGGGGAGCTGACCTAACCCTCACCCCCGTGATGCCCCCTGGCAGGCACGGTGTGTGATTTCCGTTTGTCCTATGGCCGCGTGCTGAGCCGGCGCAGCACAATCATTGCTGTCAACCGGGACCGTGCCCTGATGCTGTGCAATTCGGACATCTTCTGGAAGCCCCGCATGGCCATCCAAGGTGAGGAGCAGGCGGGCGCTCAGCGCTCTGCCTCAGAATCAGCTCCCATTCTGCTGCTGCTGGCCTTCCCCTGCTCCGGCACACGCCATGCCTCGGCAAGCGCCTAGCCTGCTGCCCAGGGTCAGGGAGCAGCCTGAGCATGCCCCTGGGGGCGCAAAGCAGGCACAGGAAGTGGAATCACAGAATCACCACCAGAGCTGACGGGAACAGACCCCGCTGAGTAAGTGGTTCATATGGGCAGCAGACCCACGCGGGAAGGTCGGTGTGTGCTTCAGCCACACCCTGCCCTGCTCCCCCAGCACCCACCTGTCTGCTGAGCCTGCCCACTGTGCTGTAGGCAATAGGCTGGGGCATGTAACCCAGCTCTTCAGCTGGGCCTCCGCAGACTGGCTCTGCTCTGATACTGGTGCCGCTTGGGGCCCATGGGACCAGCTCCTGCTCAGGTTGGCCTGTCAGAATCTCATGCTGCCCACTCTCTCTGCAGGAGACGCTGGCTCCTTCCTCCTGAGCCTTTCCCAAGGCCTCAAGAGTTACTCACCACCTCAGGACTGGGCAACGAGTCTGAAGGATGGCGACCAAAGGAAGGAGAAAGCAAACCGGTAGGTGTAGAGCTGATAGGGTGGCATCGTCCGCACCATGCACCCCAGGAGGGGCCATAGGCTCAGCCCTGTGCCGGGCAGCATGGGGCAGTATCACCCATGGAGGGCCATAGACTCAGCCCTGTGTCCATGTCCAGTGGCTCCATGTCTAGTTAGCAGCCAGTATCAAGTGGAGTGCCCCAAGGGTCGGTCCTGGGGCCGGTTTTGTTCAATATCTTCATTAATGATCTGGAGGATGACGTGGATTGCACCCTCAGCAAGTTTGCAGACGACACTAAACTAGGAGGAGAGGTAGATACGCTGGAAGGTAGGGATAGGATGCAGAGGGACCTAGACAAATTGGAGGATTGGGCCAAAAGAAATCTGATGAGGTTCAACAAGGACAAGTGCAGAGTCCTGCACTTAGGATGGAAGAATCCCATGCACCGCTATAGACTAGGGACCGAATGGCTAGGCAGCAGTTCTGCAGAAAAGGACCTAGGGGTTACAGGTGACGAGAAGCTGGATATGAGTCAACAGTGTGCCCTTGTAGCCAAGAAGGCCAATGGCATTTTGGGATGTATAAGATGCGGCATTGCTAGCAGATCGAGGGACGTGATCGTTCCCCTCTTCGACGTTGGTGAGGCCTCATCTGGAGTACTGTGTCCAGTTTTGGGCCCCACACTACAAGAAGGATGTGGAAAAATTGGAGAGTCCAGCGGAGGGCATCAAAAATGATTAGGGGACTGGAACACGTGACTTACGAGGAGAGGCTGAGGGAACTGGGATTGTTTAGTCTACAGAAGAGAAGAATGAGGGGGGATTTGATAGCTGCTTTCAACTACCTGAAAGGGGGTTCCAAAGAGGATGGATCTAGACTGTTCTCAGTGGTAGCAGATGACAGAACGAGGAGTAATGGTCTCCAGTTGCAGTGGGGGAGATTTAGGTTGGATATTAGGAAAAGCTTTTTCACTAGGAGGGTGGTGAAACACTGGAATGCGTTACCTAGGGAGGTGGTGGAATCTCCTTCCTTCGAAGTTTTTAAGGTCAGGCTTGACAAAGCCCTGGCTGGGATGATTTAGTTGGGGATTGGTCCTGCTTTGAGCAGGGGGTGAGACTAGATGACCTCCTGAGGTCCCTTCCAACCCTGATACTCTATGATTCTGTGCCAGGCACCAGCGGACAGTGTCACACAGAGAGGGGCTAGAGCAGGGGTGGCCAACCTGAGCCTGAGAAGGAGCCAGAATTTAACAATGTGTATTGCCAAAGAGCCACAGTAACACGTCAGCAGCCCCCTATCAGCTCCCCCACCGCGCTCCCAGCGCCTCCTCCCACCCACTGGTAGCCCTGCCGATCAGCACCTCCCCCTCCCTCCCCGCACATCCCGATCAGCTGTATCCTGGCATGCAGGAGACTCTGGAGGGGAGGGGGAGGAGCAAGGGCACTGCAGGCTCAGGGGAGGGAGCAGGAAAGAGTGGAGTGGGCAGCCTGTGGCAGAGCCAGGGGTTGAGCAGTGAGCACCCCCTGGCACACTGGAAATTTGTCGCTTGTAGCTCCAGCCCCGAAATTGGTGCCTAAACAAGGAGCCGCATATTAACCTCTGAAGAGCCGCATGTGGCCCCGGAGCCACAGGTTGGCCACCCCTGAGCTAGAGGTTCAGCCTGTGCTGGTCGGCAGGGGGCAGTGTCACCCAGGGAGGGGCCACAGGCTCAACCCTGCACTGGTTGGCAGGGGGCCGTAGGGCTCAGGCCTGTGCCAGTCGGCAGGGGGCAGTGTCACCCAGGGAGAGGTCATAGGCTCAGGCCTGTGCCGGGCAGTGTCACCCAGGGAGGGGCTGTAGGGCTGAGCCCTGCGCTGGTCAGCAGGGGGCAGTGTCTCTCCCAGGGAGGGGCCATAGGGCTCAGGCCTTTGCTGGGCAACAGGGAGCAGTGTAACACAGCGAGGGTCTGGAGGCTCAGCCCCGTGCTGGGCAGCAGAAGTGTGGTGAATAGGTTTATCCAGGGAGCTGAACCTGTGATATGGCTGTGAAAAAGCAATGTCATCTTGGGATGCATCAGGAGAGGTATTTCCAGTAGGGATAAGGAGGTTTTAGTACCATTATATAAGGCACTGGTGAGACCTCACCTGGAATACTGTGTGCAGTTCTGGTCTCCCATGTTTAAGAAGGATGAATTCAAACTGGAACAGGTACAGAGAAGGGCTACTAGGATGATCCGAGGAATGGAAAACTTGTCTTATGAAAGGAGACTCAGGGAGCTTGGCTTGTTTAGCCTAACTAAAAGAAGGTTGAGGGGAGATATGATTGCTCTCTATAAATATATCAGAGGGATAAATACCAGAGAGGGAGAGGAATTATTTAAACTCAGTACCAATGTGGACACAAGAACAAATGGATATAAACTGGCCACTAGGAAATTTAGATTAGAAATTAGACGAAGGTTTCTAACCATCAGAGGAGTGAAGTTTTGGAATAGCCTTCCGAGGGAAGTAGTGGGGTCAAAAGATCTATCTTGCTTTAAGATTAAACTCGATAAGTTTATGGAGGAGATGGTATGATGGGATAACATGGTTTTGGTAATTAAATATTCATGGTAAATAGGCCCAATGGCCTGTGATGGGTTTTTAGATGGGGTAAGATCCAAGTTACCCGGGAAGGAATTTTCTGTAGTATCTGGCTGATGAATCTTGCCCATATGCTCAGGGTTTAGCTGATCGCATATTTGGGGTCGGGAAGGAATTTTCCTCCAGGGCAGATTGGAAGGCCCTGGAGGTTTTTCGCCTTCCTCTGTAGCATGGGGCACGGGTCACTTGCTGGAGGATTCTCTGCTCCTTGAGGTCTTCAAACTACAATTTGGGGACTTCAATAGCACAGATATAGATGTGAGGTCTTTTTTAGGAGTGGTGGGTGAAATTCTGTGGCCTGCATTGTGCAGGAGGTCAGACTAGATGATCATAATGGTCCCTTCTGGCCTAAATATCTATGAATCTATGAATCTGTGTGTACTCCCAGAGCCTGGGCACTCTCAGGCACTCGCTGTCCTGGTCACGCTGTGAGGGGCTGGCCGGGCTCCTGGGCGTGCCAGTCACTGCCCTCCTATGTGCACAGAGAGAAGTCAGAAGAGCCCACGGAGCAGCACCTGAACCCACTCAAGCTCCTACACCATGTGGACAACTTGCTGCCTGAGAACAGCCTGCTGGTCGCAGATGGGGGTGACTTTGTGGGGAGCGCTGCCTACATTGTGCGGCCCCGTGGGCCCCTGCGCTGGCTGGATCCGGGTAAGGGGTTCTCTGGAGCTGGCACTGCTTGCCATCTGTCATGGGGGCGGATGGTGGCAGATCCCTTGCAAGGCTTCTGCAGTGCAGCTGAGCCCAGAGCCCTGCTCCCACAGCTCTGAGCTGGGGCTGGCAGTTCCCAGAGGTGATCTCCTGCCCTATGGATGTGGGACCTATGCCCCTGTAGCCCTGGGCCAAGAAGGACAATGCCTGAGGGGGCAGTCAGGCGGCCTCACTGGACGGTAAAACCTGAGGCTGCCCTGGGCTGACCCTGTTTTTCCCCGCTGGTGCCAGGAGCCCATGGGAGCAGGTGAGGAGACGCTGAGCCACTCAGCAGCCCCTCTGCTCAGTGAGGGCTGGGTTCAGGAAGGGATGGGGGTTGGTTTCATGCCCCTGCTTTCCCTGGCACGCCCGGGCGAGGACAGGCATCCCCTCTGCATTGTCCTCTCTCTCCAGGAGCTTTCGGGACACTGGGTGTCGGGGGAGGATTTGCTCTCGGAGCCAAACTCTGCCGGCCGGATTCTGAGGTCAGTAACCAGCCAGCCAGAGGAGGGCTCTAGTGGGGTGCCCCCATGGCCTGCTGGGGGTGCTCTAACAGGTGCCATGGGCAGGGCAGGTGCCCCCCTCACCCTGATGGGGGCTTTAACCAGGCTTGCCATGGGGGCAGAGTACCCCAAGGCTCTGGTGAGGGTCTCTGGGATAGGAGATGCCACATTCCCAGGCTTTCTGGTTTGTCTCCTGAATCCCCCATTGGCTCTCTTGGCCCAAGACTCCCAGTTTCCCTCCTGCTTTCCTCACTTTGCCTGCTTACTGCCAGAGGCCTCTCTCTGAACCGCTGGAGCCCCCAATACTGCCTGCCCACCCACACGAACACCCAGCCCCGTGGGAGGCAGGCACCAGCACGCACACCTCCTGTGCCGGTTAATGTGGGGGAAGTGTTCACCCCTCCGAGGGCTCTGCCAGGGGAACCTCACCTCCCTCCCCCGCCCTCAGGTCTGGATCCTCTACGGAGACGGCGCCCTCGGCTACAGCATCATGGAGTTTGACACCTTCGTCCGTCACAAGGTAACCTCCCCCTGACCCTGTGCCAATGGGGACCCTGGGGCGCTGGGCCCAGTTACCCTGTGCCAATGGGTCCCTGCCTGCAGCGACCCCTGGGGGCCAGGCCCAGCCACCCCGCATTACCTCAAATTCATACACAAAGTGAGGACTAAAGAGGCCCTGCACATGTGGGAGTGGCCACAGCCCTGGAGGCACTGCAAATGGGTTTGGAGTCCTGTAGTTAGTCCAGGCAGCACCCATGCCCAGGCCCCTTCGCAGCCTCCCCTTCATTGCTGTTCCTTTTCCAAGGCAACAGGAGCTGGCATGGACTCAGTGTAGTGGGAGGGTGCAGGGCCGGGCCCTAGGGCAGAGCGGACCGGGCACTGGGACCTCACCCCTCCCTTCTGGTGCCTTGGGAGCAGCACTTTTCTTGCTTTTTCAGACGCCTGTCATTGCACTGGTGGGGAATGACGCCTGCTGGAGTCAGATCTCCCGTGAGCAGGTCCCCTTGCTGGGCAGTAACGTGGCCTGCGGCCTGGCCTATGTGGGTGAGTCTTGGACGGGAGTGACGGGAGCAGCATGCTCAGCAGGGGCCCGGGGTGCCTCCAGATCCTGTGCAGCCTGTCCCCAGGCAGGCAGCCATTGTGTGCTGCTTCCTGCAGGCCACCCCCATAGAGGGAGGGAAAGCGGGAGGTTCCCAGAATTGGTGCAGGTCCTATCACACCTCTGGGTTCATGGCCCAGCACTGATGCCTGCTCCGCCCACCCAAGCCAGGCTCCCCGTGGGAAGGGAACTTCGAACGGCCCCTTCCTTCTGCGGTGAGTCCCCACGGGCTGGGGGATTCTCTCCCAGCCTTCCCTGCCACTGTTCTCCACTGCATTCCTGGAAGCTGCAGACCCCAGCATGCCTTCCGTCCCTCCCTGCTGCCTGCCACTCACACCTGGTGTGCCCACTGCGGCCACCCTCCTGGAATCAGCTCTTCCTGCTTAGTGGCCTACATGGGCTGTCACCACCGTGCCCAGGCCCTGCTGTAGCAGGCAGCAGCCTTGCTAACAGCCAGTCTCCTCCCTGCACAGATTACCACCTGGTGGCGGAAGGCTTAGGAGGGAAAGGTTTCCTACTCTGCCGCCAGGACGAGACCTTCATGGACAACATCATCCTGGGGGCACAGGAGGCCTGCAGGCAGGGACACCCCACCCTGATCAACGCCCTGATCGGCAGAACCAGCTTCCGGGAGGGCTCCATCTCTGTGTAGGGCTGGGGCCAGTCCCGGCAGCGCTCCCTGCCCATGCCATGGTGCAGCAGCCTGCCTTGGGCCCCCTACAGACACCAGCACAGTACCCCTTTCGGTGTTTAGTTCATCATCCTCCTTGTTCTGGCCCCAGAGCTGCTGCAGACTGACACAGCCATCCCTACCAGGGACTGGGGTCCTAACCAAAGCCCAAGCCCCTCAACCGGAAACTGGTGCCAGGACGCTGGCTAGGAGGGATCAACAGGGCAGCAGGGACAAGGAAGCTTCTCTCAGTTCAGCACTGGGCAGGTGCCTATTTCTGTGGGGGATGGGCATTGTGCTTTGGCAAGCTCCTGCCAGTAGTGAGAGCAGCTGCAGGGATCTTGTTCTGGTGACAGCAGGGGGTTTTGCTTTCCAACTGGGCAGTGGGGCTGAATTTGAGGTCCTGGGCGCTGAGGGGTGCGGGTGGGGCAGCTTGTTGCCCAGCTCTGCAAGCCAGGGTCGTTGGCTGGTGACTCTCTCTGGGGCAGGAGCCTGGCCTAGGCCTAACGTTTGGACGAAGTGGCGCTGCTGAGCCCTGCTGTGAGTCTTGGTTGAGGGAAAGCTGGCGGGATTCGCTCCAGATCCACCAGGGCTGTGATTTCCCCCAAAACCCTACGATGCACTACCAGGGCATCTCCCTGGCTGACCAGCCCAGGGACCCTGCTGCCCCAGAGCCCCATCACGCAGAAATACATTTCCTGAACAGCTCTGGGCAAGGCCCGTCACCATCATGCTCTCCAGCCCCATAGTCAGGACCATGAGCTGCCATTGCACTGCCACTTCCCTGCCAGCCTCCAGCTGCTGCCACACCTAGGAGCCTAGGGAGGGCCTGCATGTTCAAAGGGCACAGGCAGGGCCATGCGTGCTGCTGCTCCCAGCCCCAGGTGCCAAGCTCTCCATTACCGTAGTCTGAGGTGGTGTGGTCAGGCAGGGGGGGTGGTACTCGGTTAACGGGGATGTTAACAGAGCGGTTCCCTCTCTCTCTCCAAGCACACGCACTCCACCCACAGGAGTTATTCCCCCAACAATAAAGAGAATGATGGCACCAGGCAAAGTGTGGCTCTATAGCTGCTCTGTGGGAAGGGCGCCACCTAATGGTTAACACGGGGGGTTGACAGGATTGGTGGCCTAGAGCAGGGGTGGGTAAACTTTTTGGCCTGAGGGCAACATCGGGGTTCTGAAACTGTATGGAGAGCTGGGTGTAGTGTATTAAATTGCTCCCCCTAGGAATTGGCTACTTACGGTGTACTACTTACAGCTGCAAGTCCTGGTGCTCTTAACACACTACACCCTGCAGTTCTCACAGCCGCACTGCCCAGCATGAGCTCACAGCCCCGCCACCCAGAGCACTGGTGGCACGGCGAGCTGAGGCTGCAGGGGAGGGGGCTATCCGGGAGTTCAAGGGCCCGGCAGGACGGTCCCCCGGGCCATAGTCCGCCTACCTCTGGCATAGAGGATAAATGGGAAGCTGTAGATGTGATGTGTCTTGATTTTAGTCAGTCTTTTGACACTGTCCCACATAGCAGTCTCATACAAAAACTGGGGAAATGTCATCTAGCTGAACTTACTGTAAGTTGGGTGCACAACTGACTGAAAGACAGTACCTCAAAGAGTAGTTATCAATGGTTTGCTGTTAAACTGGGAGGGCATTGTTAGTAGGGTCCTGCAGGGTCCGTCCTGGGTGTGGTACTGTTCAGTATTTCAGAGTAGCAGCCGTGTTAGTCTGTATCCGTAAAAAGAAAAGGAGTACTTGTGGTACCTTAGAGACTAACAAAATTAGAGGATAAGCTTTCGTGAGCTACAAGTGAGCTGTAGCGCAAGAAAGCTTATGCTCTAATAAATTTGTTAGTCTCTAAGGTGCCACAAGTACTCCTTTTCTTTATTCAGTATTTGACTTGGATAATAGAGAGGAGTGCTATCTTATAAAATTTGCAGCTGACACCAAGCTGGAAGGGGTTGCAAGCATGTTGCAGGACAGGATTAGAATTCAAAACAATTTGGAGAATTGGTCTGAAATTAGCAAAATGAAATTAAATAAAGACCAGTGCCAAGTAGTTCATTTAGGAAGGAAAAATCAAATACAAACCTACAAAATGGGGACTGACTAAGTGGTAATACTGCTTCAAAGGACCCAGGGGGTTATAGTGGATCACAAACTGAATATGAGCCAACAGTGTGGTGCAGCTGTGAAAAAGTCTAATATCATTCTGAGGTGTAAGAAGAGGAATGTCATGTGTAAGACATGGGAGGTAATTGTCCTGCTCTACTAAGCACTGGTGAGGCCTCAGCTGGAGTACTGTGTGCAATTTCAGGCTGCCACATGTTAGGAAAGGTGGACAAACTGGAGAGAGTCCAGAGGTGAGCAAAAGATGATAAAAGGTTCAGAAAACCGGACCTGTGAGGAAATGTTAAAAAACTGGGCATGTTGAGTCTTGGGAAAAGAAGACTGAGGAGGAACCTGTTACCAGTCTTCAAATGTGCTAAGAGCTCTTTTAAAAATGTCTGTGATCAATGGTTCTCCGTGGCCATTGAAGGCAGGAGAAGTAGTAATGGGCTTAATCTGCACCAAGGGAGCTTGAGGTTAGATGTTAGAACATTAGAACGGCCATACTGGGTCAGACCAAAGGTCCATCTAGCCCAGTATCCTGTCTTCTGACGGTGGCCAATGCCAGGTGTCCCAGAGGGAATGAACAGAAGAGGTAATCAAGTGATCCATTCCCTCTCGCTTATTTCCAGCTTCTGGCAAACACCATCCCTGTCCATCCTGGCTAATAGCAATTGATGGACCTGTCTTCCATGAACTTACCTTGTTCTTTTTTGAACCCTGTTATAGTCTTGGCCTTCACAACATCCTCTGGCAAAGAGTTCCAGAGGTTGTGTGAAGAAATACTTCCTTTTGTTTGTTTTAAACCTGCTATTAATTTCATTTGGTGACCCCTAGTTCTTGTGTTATGAGAAGAAGTAAATAACACTTCCTTATTTACTTTGTCCACACCAGTCATGATTTTATAGACCTCAATCATATTCCCCCAAGCTGAAAAGTCCCAGTCTTATTAATCTCCCCCCATACGGAAGCCGTTCCATACCCCAATCATTTTTGTTGCACTTTTCTGAACCTTTTCCAGTTCCAATATATCTTGTTTGAGATGCGGCGACCACATCTGCACACAGTATTCAAGATGTGAGCATACCATGGATTTATATAGAGGCAATATGATATTTTCTGTCTTATTATCTATCCCTTTCGTAATGATTCTCAACATTCTGCTCGCTTTTTTTGGCTGCCACTGCACATTGAGTGGATGTTTTCAGAGAACTATCCACAATGACTCCAAGATCTCTTTCTTGAATGGTAACAGCTAATTTAGACCCCATCATTTTATATGTATAGTTGGGATTATGTTTTCCAATGTGCATTACTTTGCATTTATCAACAAATTATCAACAAATACTTCTAGCATTGGTATATAAGCACTTTAAAAACTAGTCATTTTTTAGCTGTTTGCCATTACATGATGTAATTGAATGGGACTTTTTTTCACTTGACTGTTTCTCATCTGATCTTACCTGCCAGTGCAGCAGGCACGACCTGAGGGCTTGCAGGCCAGCAGCACCCTGCAGGCCGTGCTCCTCCCCTGTGTATCCTTTCTGCCCAGTGGGGCTGCAGCAACTGGCACACATTGCAGTTTTAGGCTGAGGCCAGCAGGTGGTCCTTGCTGGCCTCCACATGGCACTTGAGCAGAGGAAACATCTGTTCCTAGGGGAATTCTGCACCACTGCACAATGCAGCGTTTGCACAGAATTAATGCTCTGTGCAGCATTTCCTTTGTGCCTGCAGAATTGGCACTGCACTACTAGCTGCTAGTAGGGGCCACTGGACTCCACAGAGCCCAGCTCCCAAATAGATGCTGCTGGGAGGAGGGGTCAAAGCTGGAGTCGTCCCAGCAGCTGCAGTGCCTAGCTGAAGGAAAGAGGTGGCATGCAGGAAACTCCATACAAGCCCTGGACCTAGCATCAGGTTGTTTCTCCCTCTGGGGGGTAGGGAGTGTGGGTGTCTAGGCTGGGGGGGAAGGGGGCATGGCTGGGCAGTGCAGAGGAAGGGGTGTGGGTGGCTGGACTGGGAGGCACCCCACAGCTGAGCTCTGGAGGGAGGGGGGTGTGGGTGTCTGCCCTCCCCAGCTGGGGCGGGGAGGGAGAAGAGAAAGAGGAATTGGGTTGTTGTAGGGGTTTCTTTAACTCTCTACCCCTGGAGGAAGTTTGTTGTCTGTATTGTTACAGATATAGTTGCTGACAGGTATTTTGAACTAAATTATCAAAATAGTTGAAATTGATGTGAGTACATTGTGTTATTGTTACAAAATATGCAGAATTTTAAAATATTCTGCACAGAACTTTTAAATTTTTGGTGCAGAATTCCCACAGGCATAAACATCCCTGGTCCTACCTGTAGCGACCCCCAGCTCCAGCACCGTGACACTGCCCAGCAGACAGGAGGGAAAAGCTGGTGCCTATAGCCATCCCAGGGAGGGCAATGAAGGGGACAGCCCTTCCTGCCCACAGTAGCCAGGCAGCTGCCCCCAAGTGATGCCCCAGCTCCCCAGCCTGACCCCACCCAGCCCTTGCTGCCATGGCCTGAGTGTTCTGCACCCACAGCAGGTGGGTTGGAGGCAGCTGGAGCCCTAGCAGAGGCACCCTCTTCCCCTGGTGAACGTGGCCCCAGTCCCTATGCACACGCACGCACACACACACAACCCAACAGCAGGTGTAGGCGGTGTCCTTTATTGCTGGTGTAGGCAGTGGGCAGGATGCCCTGGCATGCATACATGGGCACCATGCTGACTCCCAGCCTGGCATGGGCATTTCCTTAACACACATGATAAGCAGCCATCCCCAACTCCCCATGGCTGGGGGTGCCAGGCAACAGGGGCAATGGCTGGACCATGCAGGCCCTGCCCCCTCCATAGACAGGGCACCCCAAGCATAGCTGCTTCTATAATACGGTGGCACTCTGCTATGACCCTCTTCTTCAGCCCCAGACCCATCCATGGCAGGAGTCACTGCAACCCTCCCTTCACATTCACAGGGGTTCCCTTAAGCTAATACCAGGTGAAGGGCCCCCACCCCCAAACTCTGGGCACTTTTCCTCCCTGCCAGAGCAGCTCAGAAGGGAGCTGCTGGGCCTTGTGCTTTGAGAGGGGATGGGGTGAATTTCCATTGGAGCCTGGAGTCGGGGAGAGTGTCATGGTTTTACCCCCCCCCCCCAAAAAAAAATTGGCTTTTTTTCCCTATAACTGAATATTTTATAAACACTGGAAAATCCAGCAATGGAGGACAACATCACATACGTTAAATACCCACATGGAGCAGCCAGTCTTCATGAACATGCATACACACGCACAAACCACATCCCTACACCACACACACATCCCACCCCCAAAGATATTCACACAAACACCACACTACAGATAAACATACACCCCCCCATGCACAAACGTACACACAAACCACCATTCCCAAACATTCACACGCACCACACACAAACGTCCACCCCACCTCCTCAAATAGAGACACAAACCACACGCCTACACCCTCCCACACACAAATGTACACACACATCCAAACATACACACACGAGCTACACACATCGTACACCCCACACGCACACACATCCAAACGCACACACACATCCTACACTGCACACACCCAAACATGTATACACACCCCCTACACCAAACATACAGAAGCAAGAAATATAAATAAAGCTGGCCTCTCCAGTACCGGGCTCCCTGGAGGGAAGTTGTGCGGGGGGATTGGGTGCATTTCCATGACGCCCTGCAGTGAGCACCCTCAGGCAGCTGTGCCTGGGCACCTGGCACACTGAAATCAGTGCTGCAGGTGCAGGCTCTGCAAGGCACAGCAGCATCAGGTATCCCAGCAATACCCAGGGAAATGCCAGAGCTGGCTTGGGTGCGAGAGGGCAATTGATGTCTTGAGCTTAGCTTGGGGCCAGTCTGCCCATGTGTTGCACTTTCATGGGATCCATATGGGGAAAGGCACATCCAGGGAATCACCTCCCACTCCCCACCAGCCCTGAGCACCCACCCAGCAGGGCCCCAGCTTGGAGCTCTGTCTGCTAGTGTCCAAGGAGGCTGCACTGCATGGAAGCCAGTGTCTTTGGTGCAGCCTCTGCACTAGCCTCCCCTACTCCGTAATGCAGAGGGTGAAGGTGACAGCCAGTGAGCTGGGGCCTCCAGATCACATCCATGGTTGTGCCTGCTGCTGCTGCTCACATGGGAGGCCTCCCTACCAGGCCTGGCCTGCACAGCAGCCGCAGGGAAAGCTCAGGCTGGAAAGAGCTGGGGGCTTGGCTGCCAACCCCAGGCCCTGGGTTCAGTGCCAGCCAGCTCCAGGGTGGGGCAGAGACTGGGAGGAGACTAAAGATGCCCATGAGAAGCAGCCACAAAGAACTCCAGGCCCCAGTCTCTTGCCTCATGCTGGTCTGTCCACGTGCCATGGGATCCCAGGGCTGCAGCCCATTCTCCCCTCACTGTTCCATCGAGAGCTGCAGCCGAGCAGGATTGGAGGCAGCATCCAGGCTGGGGGAGCCTGGAGTAAAGAGCCTGGAGTATTGTCAGGTTGGGGGAGGATGTAAATGTGGCACCAAGATACTAACTAATGCCATGGCAAGCTGAGCGTGAGATGCCATGACTGGCACAGCCCCTCCTACTCCCTGGCAGGGTGCAGTGGATCGTGGCTTCTGTGTGAAGCAGCCCCCGAGCAGAGCACACATGATGGAGGTCAGGGACCCTTGTCAATACTCTAACCCTATGCAGGGGGGACGCCTCGCCTGGGGTGGTGGGAGGCCAGGAACAGGCCTTAGCCCTAGCTCTCTCCTGGCCCAAGGCTGCCCCCACCCAAGTGGCACGCAGGGTGGCACTTAGTAACAAAACACAGACAGCGAGGCCAGTCCCACAGCAGACCAGACTGAGCCCACTGCAGCCAGAGCCCTGGGGCAGCTCTGACACTCATCTTCCTGAGAACCAAGTCAAACTCCCACCTGCAAGGAAGGCTCCACCTGGGATGCTAGAAGGGGCATCAAAACTCACCACCCTTGGGGGCTGGGAGGCTCCCTGCTGACCAGAAATACATGCCACAGGAGGGATAGGTACATGGTGCTCCTGACCCGCCCCCTGTGCCCCGCCCAGGGCCTGGAGCTGCCTTCCTGACTAGCCTGCAAGAAGCTGCTATTGGCACAGCTGCTGTGGCCTGGGAAGCCCGCTGCCAGGGTCACACAAGCAGTGCCTGCAAACTTCAGCTCCAGCCCAGCCAGGGGACAGGTTCAGGCTCAGAGGCTGATTCTTTGGCTTCTGAAATGCAGAGGAAAGGATGGCGCTGCTCCCCCTGCCCTGTGCGCTCCCTGCACATGGTATTGCCCCAGGGCTGAGAGCCAGGCCAAGGGAATCCCAGGATCCAGGCTCCTCCCAGCCCTGCTCTGTAGCCAGACAGAGCTACTATGTCATCCACAGAGGGCTGAGAGTGACAAACACTGCAGCAGTGAGTGACCCTGAGTGCAGCCCCCCGGCTGGCTCAGCCCCTCATCCATACTGCAGCCCCAGAACCCCAACCTCAGTGGGCTGTCACACACTGCCCTGGTGTCTCCAAGCCTCCATCCATGCTGTGCAAATCAAAAGGCTGCAAGAGCCAAGTGCTACGCAAATTTGGTCACGCTCCAAATGGCTTTGGCTTAATCTCTGGGTTCCTATTAATACTGGGAGCCTGGGCGCATGCTCCTGGGAGCTCGGCGGCCACACCCAGGCGTGCACTGTGTTGGTCTCTCCAGAGCTCCAAGTCCAGAGGGCAGAGTGTGCTGGAGCCCACGAGTGAGCACGAGAACACCTCCTGTACGCTGTACCTGCTGCTCAGGGCCCCTGCTCCTGGGCAGGTTGCTGGATTAAGGCTGACGGCATGAGTCATCGCCTGCTACAGGGCTGGGCCAGGCTCCTGAGTGTGGAGCCCAAATTTCTTTAGCTGAAGCCCCACCATCTGGTGCCTGGCACCTCCCCTGCTGGTGTCAAGGCCCCAGGCTGTGCCCAGCTCCCACCATCTAACTCATGTTTTGGTGACACTGGAGCCCGGCAGGGGATGTGGACGGTCCCAGGGAGCATAGGGGCAGGGGGAGCCAGGCGCGGTGGTGGAGCAGCCAGGCCACTCACAGGCACACGTTGATCTGCTTGGAGAGCTCTCGCTCTAGGTCCAGGATGAGGGCATCAAAGTCCTTTAGGTTCAGGCGGGGGCTGAAGGGCGCCTCGGGGTCGTCGACCAGGGCAAAGTCCCCCACGAAGACTGTCTGGCTGGGGCCACCCAGCCCCTCCCGCAGGTCCAGCACCTCATTCTCGCTGTCGCTGCCAGCCACCTCAGCATCGTTGACCTCGTGCCCCAGCCCAGCCACCAGCCCGTACTCCTGGCTGCACACGCTCCACTCCCCAGCGTAGCGGTTGGTGGGGGGGCTCTCCAGGCCCCGGGGCCGGTGACGAGCCACCACCTCGCTCTCCATCAGATCCAGCCGCAGTGCAGGGTGACGCCTCTGCCGCAGGCAGCTGGGCTGGGCCCTTTCCCGGCCCCCCACGCCGGGCCCTGTCCTGTCGGGGGCTGGAGAGACAGATCCCAGTTACCGCAGTGCTCTCCTCCCACAGCCAGACCGGCCAATCAGAGGCTGCGATCCCACGGGGAGGAGCCCGGCAGCGCATTGTCCCCCACCCTGCAGCAGGCCCCCGGCGGCGCATTCTCCCCCCCCACCCCGCAGCAGGCCCCCGGCCGCGTGCTCTCCCCTCACCCCCACCAACACCCTGCAGCAGGCCCCCCGGCAACACGCTCTCCCCCCACCCCGCAGCAGGCCCCTGGCGGTGCGCTCCCCATACCCCCACCCCGCAGCAGGCCCCCAGAGGCGCATTGTTCCCCCCCCGCCCATCCCCACCCTGCAGCAGGCCCCCGGCCGCGTGCTCTCCCCTCACCCCCACCAACACCCTGCAGCAGGCCCCCCGGCAACACGCTCTCCCCCCACCCCGCAGCAGGCCCCCGGCGGCGCTCTCCCCCACACCCTGCAGGAGGCCCCTGGCGGCACTCTCCCCACACCCTGCAGGAGGCCCCGCAGCGCGCTCTCCCCACACCCCCAGCTGCGCTCTCCCCACACCCCGCAGCGCGCTCTCCCCACACCCCGCAGCGCGCTCTCCCCACACCCCCAGCTGCGCTCTCCCCACACCCCGCAGCGCGCTCTCCCCACACCCCCAGCTGCGCTCTCCCCACACCCCGCAGCGCTCTCCCCACACCCCGCAGCGCGCTCTCCCCACACCCCCAGCTGCGCTCTCCCCACACCCCCAGCTGCGCTCTCCCCACACCCCCGCCGCAGCGCGCTCTCCCCCCACCCCCAGCTGCGCTCTCCCCACACCCCCAGCTGCGCTCTCCCCACACCCCGCAGCGCGCTCTCCCCACACCCCCAGCTGCGCTCCCCCCACCCCGCAGCGCTCTCCCCACACCCCCAGCTGCGCTCTCCCCACACCCCGCAGCGCGCTCTCCCCCCACCCCGCAGCGCGCTCTCCCCACACCCCCAGCTGCGCTCTCCCCACACCCCGCAGCGCGCTCTCCCCACACCCCCAGCTGCGCTCTCCCCACACCCCCAGCTGCGCTCTCCCCCCACCCCGCAGCGCGCTCTCCCCCCACCCCGCAGCGCGCTCTCCCCACACCCCGCAGCGCTCTCCCCACACCCGCAGCCGCTCTCCCCACACCCCCAGCGCGCTCTCCCCACACCCCCAGCTGCGCTCTCCCCCACCCCGCAGCGCGCTCTCCCCCCCCCCGCAGCACGCTCTCCCCCCACCCCCAGCTGCGCTCTCCCCACAACCCCACACGCAGCGCCCCCCACCCCGGCGGCGCTCTCCCCCACACCCTGGCAGCGCGCTCTCCCCACACCCCCAGCTGCGCTCTCCCCCCACCCCGCAGCAGGCCCCCCCGGTGGCGCTCTCCCCACACCCCCAGCTGCGCTCTCCCCCCACCCCGCAGCGCGCTCTCCCCCCACCCCGCAGCAGTCCTGCGGCCACACAGTCCCTCCCCTCAGCTGCACTTACCAGGCCAGGCCTGCAGCAGGTAGTGCAGCACCTCAATGTGCCTCTTGAAGTCGACGGCACTGGCGATCTCCTCGCAGTGGGCGTAGCTGCGGGCCCTCTGGCGCCAGGGCTCCTGATTCTGGTTGAGCAGCACTGGCCCGAAGCACACGGCAATGTTCTGGGAGTTCATGCGGTTAAAGTCGTGGAAGGAGGCCACCAAGCTGAGATGGTCCAGCAGCACGGTCAGCGTAGCCTGGGGAGAGGGGAGCGTCAGTCCAGGGCCTGGCCCTGCCCCACCCACCCAGTTCTGTGGGCTCAGGATCACCCCGAAAATCCCAGGTTTTTGTACCTCAGAGGTCACAGCCTTAGTCTGTGCCCAGGTGCCAGGCTCCTTGGAGGGAAAGCACCTGACTTGGAGAAGCTGGGGGAAGGAGGGACGGCCCGACACTGAAGCCGAGGTGGCTGGAAGCTAAAGCCAGACAAATTCAGACTAGAAATCAGGCACAAGTGTTTCCCAGGGAGGGGGGTGAACCACTGGCACAAACTCCGGGGGAAGTGGTGGATTCTCCATCTCTTGATGGCTCCAAAGCCAGGCTGGGGCCAGGCTGGGAGATGCTTTAAACACAAGTTACTGGGCTCAATACACAACGTGGGGGTAACTGGGTGACATGTAGGGGCCAGTGCTGCCCAGGAAGTCAGACTGGGTGATCTAATGGTCCTTCCTGGCTGTAAACTCTGCGAATCTTGCTATTTTCTCTGATCTCACTGCGGTGAAACCCCTTGATCCCAAGGGGCAGCCAACCTGGAAAGCTGCCCAGGATCTTAGGTCCCTGCAGCGAGCAGCACCGGCTACATGCCTGGGGCTGTGCCAGGGGAGTACCCAGCCCCCATGTATCCAGCGCTGTCACAGACATGTGCAGCCCACGCGCGCGGCAGGGGCAGCGCCGGCTCCGTGCCGGTGGCAGCGCCCGGCGTGCCCAGCCCCCACGCGCGCGGCAGGGGCAGCGCCGGCTCCGTGCCGGTGGCAGCGCCCGGCGTGCCCAGCCCCCGCGCGCGCGGCAGGGGCAGAGCTGACCACAGCCTCCCATCTAGGAGATGGGGATGTGCCAGTCTATGGGGACATTGTTGCAGCAGCACCAAGCAGCCCCCCGGATAGCTCCAAGGGCACTGTGGCTTGGCTCCACAGCCAGGTCTCCTTTCCTACCTGCCCACACTCCCCTGCTCCGCCCACTGGCAGGCGCTCACCTTCTCAATCTCTGGCAGGCAGTCCAGCAGAGCGACCGTCTCCTCCGCATTCTGCCTGCTGAGCATGTCCTGGGGCGGGCGCTGGGCCATGGCCTCCAACACCACCTCATAAAGGGTCTTGGTGATGAGGGGCGTGGGCAGCTCCCGCAGATAGTCCTTCAGGATCCCTGCAGGAAAAGGCCAAATTCCTGTCAGCTCCTTGGCAGGCTCCTCTCCCAAACTGGTCTCTGCTGGGTCCCACGGCGGGGAGGGCACAGGACTCATGGCACTGAGCAGCCTATAGAAACTACAGGGAGTGCACAGAGAGCCCCGCCTTCTGGGTTCTATCTCTGGGAGGCGAGTGGGGTCTAGTGGCTAGAGCAGAGGGACTAGGAGTCAGGACTCCTGGTTCTACCCCTAGCCCCAGGAGGAGAGTGAGGTCTAGTGGGTTCAGAGAGCCTAAGACCAGAAGGGACCATTATGATCATCTAGTCGGACCTCCTGTATAACAGGCCAGAGAACTTCCCAAAATAATTCTAAGAGCAGAGCTTTTAGAAAACCATCCAATCTGATTTAAAAAATCAGTGATGGAGAATCCACCACGACCCTTTTTCAAATGGTTAATTACTCTCACCACTAAAATATATGCCTTATTTCCAGTCTGAATTAGTCTGCTTCAACTCCCAGCCATTGGATGGGTGTTACAGTTTTCTCTGCTAGATTGAAGATCCCCTTATTAAATATTTCTTTCAAATGTAGGTATTTATAGACTGTGTAAGTCACCCTTTAACCTTCTCTTTGTTAAGCTAAATAAACTGAGCTCCTAAAGTCTATCTCTGTAAGACATATTTTCTAATCCTTCAGTCATTCTCATGGCTCTTCTCTGACCCCTCTCCAATTAATCAACATCCTTCTTGAATTGTGGGCCCCAGAACTGGACACAAGATTCCAGCAGGGTCGCACCGGTGCCAAATACGGAGGTAAAATAACCTCTCTACTCCGGCTCAAGATTCCCCTCTTTATGCATCCAAGGTCTCTTTTGGCCACTGTTCAGCTGATTATCCACCAAGACAACTACCAGATCTTTTTTCAGAGTCCCTGCTTCCCAGGACAGCATCCCTCCATCCTGTGAGTGTGGCCTACAGTCCTTGTTCCTGATGTACACATTTACATTTAGCTAAATTAATACATACATTGTTTGCTTGTGCTGTTTGCCAAGCGATCCAGATCACTCTGTATCAGTGACCTGCCCTCTTCAGTATTTGCCACTCCCCCAACTTTTGTGTCATCTGCAAACTTTATTAGTGATGATTTTATGTTTTCTTTCACCAGGCCATTAATAAAAACATTAAATATCATAGAGCCAAGAATAAGTCCCTGTGGGACACCACTGGAACCACACCTGCTCGATGACAATTCCCCCTTTACAATTACATTTTGAAACTTATCTATCAGTGAGCCACTTTTTAATCCATTTAATGTGTGCTGTTATATTTATACTGTTCTAGCTTTTTAATCAAAATGTCAGGGGGTACCAAGTCAAATGCCTTGCAGAACTCTAAGTATATGACATGTACACTATTACCTTTATCAGCCAAACTTGTATCCTCATCACAAAAAGGTATCAAGTTAGTTGGACCGGATTAGAGTGGGGGTCAGGAGACAGGACTCCTGGGTGCTTTACCTTGCTCTGGGAGACGAATGGGATCTAGTGGGTTGCGGTGAGCCTCCTACTGACTTGCCTGAGCACGTGTGTCGGGGGGCAATCCAGGAGCTGTGCTGGTGCTGCATGGGGGTGAGGAGTGGCTGGGCACTGACCTGTGATGACGTTGATGTCTGGGTACAGCTGTTCAGAGAGCGTCACGGCTGCACTGTCCCTCTCGAAGGCATCACGCAGCTCCTTCTTCACGGCCGCCGAGCCACACAGCCGGTAAAGCCCTACAATCTGGGCACAGGAGGTGCTGTCAGTGGGAGAGCCCATTCCCCACCGCCCCCCGCACTTGTCCCAGGACCCAAGGGGCAGCATGGGGAGGGGACAGGACACAAAGAGGGAAGACAGCACGGAGCCCATGGCCTGCTGGGATCCGGCCTGCTCAGGAGCCGCGCTCACCGGCTCCTCGCCATGTACCTGCTGTGCGTGTGTTAGCTGCGTGGCATGGGGCTGGAGTGCCAGGTGTCCTGCAGAGCCCACTCCCCCAGTATCGCCTCCCCCACCACTCACCTTCAGTCCCCGCTTCTCGATCTGGGAGACGCATTTCTGGATCAGCAGCGGCACCTTGGTGGCAGTGTTCTCCCTTTCCACCAAGTGACGCAGCTCCACGCCAAAGACCCGTGGCTCCCGGTCACTGGGGCTGCTGGGCATGTCCCACTGCTCCACCAATGTCAGCTTGCAGTAGAGCAGCCCACGTGGCTCCAGCCGCACTGCCAGCTGCTGGGCCCTGCACCCTGAAGAGCAGAGGGCACCGGCATGTGTCAGACTGGAGCAAGATGTGGACGGTCAGCAAGGGCCAGCTGGGAAACCACAGCATCTGCCCCCTCTTTGTTCTGCCCTATGCCCCCCCACACACACACAGCTCTGTCCATCTGAGCACCATTGGACCCTGCCTTCTGCCCATTTGTATGTGTCCTCCAGAGTCCTGCCCAGCTAAACCCCATGGGGCACTGATCCCTGCCCATCTGTATGTGCCCCCCAGAGCCCTGTACATCTGAGCCCCATTGGACACTGCCCCCTGCCTGGGTGTCACTGCCCCCTCTCAGGCCCTCTCCTCATCACCAGGGCCCCCGTCTCACTGGCTGCTCCCGTTACCTCTGAAGACGTGGGGCAAGACAATGGTGCCATGGCAGCACACACGGTTCCGGCAGGTAGCCAGGTCCCAGGAGAAGACAATGACCTTGAGGTGTCGGGTGCCCTCCAATTCCAAGTTGAAGGTGTGGTTGAGGCTGAGGAAGGTGGCTGTCCAGGGCAGCAGGGCCGTGCGCGCCTTGGGGGCTGCATCCACCTGCAGGACGCAGAACACCTCCCTGGACTCAGCCTTTGGGGGCTTAAGGTCCCCCACACCATACAGATGGACACTGACTAGGCCCGAGATAGGCTGCACACAGCGCGGCTGTTCCAAGGGGCTGTAGGGCTGGAAGGCATCCACGTCCAGCCTGGCCCCAGGCTCATGCCCCTCTGGCCCGGGACAGGCACGCTTGTCCGCCTTGGCCAGCAGCTCAGGGGAGTCACCATCACTCAGGTAGCCGCCCTTGCTGGCTGCCTTGGCACGGTGCGGGCCCTGTTGGGATGCCACACTGCTGTCCAGGTGGTAGCGGCTGATTACATTCCCCGGCTCCTTGCGGGCATCCCTGGGTGAGGTGCTGCCACTGCCCTCAGGCTCCTGCCCCCGGGGCTGGGCACTACGCAGGCTCAGCTTCCTCCTCAGCTCCGGCAGCTTCTTCATCTTCAGGGACAGGCGGCGCACGGTGCCCGGGGACTTCACCCTGCCCAGGGAGCGCCCCTTCTTGGAGACGCTGGGGCTCAGCGGGGGGGATGGGCCAGCCAACCCCACAGCCGCGCTCAAACATGAAATCGGCAACTTCCCTGGGGGGAGAGACCTGATGAGACGCGCACCTCAGCCACAGTGGACACTGGCATGCATGGGGAAAGGGAGCCCCTTAATCTGGGGCATGGAAGGGAAGGGCCATTACAGGGAGGAGGGCCTGTGGGACCCAGAGCAGCCAAGACTGACTTGCTGGGGATGGAGAGAGTGGTTGATCCCACACAGGGAACCAGGCTGCAGTGGGGATGCGGACGCAGGGACAGGGACCGGGGGGGGGGGGGGGCTCTATGGAAAGAGGGGGACCCCACGGGATCAGGTGTCCCATTGGGGGGGGGCATGAGAGGGGAGGGGCTCATGAGATCAGGGTGGGGCTGCCACCAGAAGATGGTGGGGCCACGTGGAAGCAGCTCTGTCTCATGTTTCTGCCATGCTGTTCAACCCAGAACACACCCTGTTAGCACCACACCCCTCACCATAGGCCAGTGTCCTGCCGGCACCCATCTCCTCGCCTCGGCCCACTGGCCCAGCTGGGGTAGGTGCATTCTGTGAGCTGGGGCTCTCCACTTGCCTGGCGATGCTCCTGGGGGGCCCTTCATCACCTGGCTCTGCCCTGCTGGGCCTGCCCTTGTCCCTGTCAGATTCCCGGCTCCCTGTGCCACTGCCCCACTTCCTCCAGGAGCTGCCAGGCTCGGTGCCTTGCCTGACACCTACAACGTCCTCATCTTCAGGGATGGGGTTGTACCAGATCTCCCCTTCGCTGCCCACGGCGCCCACCTCCTTCAACTCTGTGCTGGTGCTGGGGGCCAACTCCTCCGGGCCCTGGGCCTTGCCAGAGGAGAGGATCCAGTGGCGGCTGCTCCTCTCCAGGTTCTGCAAGTAGGCGCCGTGACTGGCACACCTCACACCACTGCCAGAGGCGCAGAGCTCCACATAACTGCACATCGACTCAGCCTCCTCATCACCAGGGGCCAGGCTGGGCTGAGGCGCTGGGGTCGCCAGGGCCAGGCTGGGCAGAGGGGTGGGGGGCACTGGGGCTGGGGGGCTCTCCACAAGCCATGCCTCATCCTCAACGGTTGGCCCCCCTGTGTGGGTGGGTGAGAACAGCTCCTGGGGGCGCAGAGGGCACTGGGGGTCCTCATCAGTCTCTCGACCACAGGCAACTGGCCCTACGCCTTCACCCTCATCCTGCAGCTCTGCGGAGGCCGTGGGGCTGGCAGGCACCTTCCTGCTGTAAGAGCTACATGGCACATCCCGGATGCCACATGAGAACCTGGCCCAGCTCTGCTTCCTGGACACGGTAATGGCTGCCCCTCTCCGACAGCTCCCATCGTGGTCATGAGATGCTGGCTCTGGCCCAAGGACTGGCTCCAGCTCCATGGGAGAGTCCAGCATCCTTGAGGGGCGCTCTGTGGGGAACAGGAAATGTGAGCTGAAGGTTAATATCAGAACATGCCCAGTGCACACACACGCCATACCTAGTGCACACCTAGTGCATACATCAAGTGCCCACCTAGTGCATACATCAAGTGCCCACCCAGCATATACACACACATACTATACCCAGTGCACACACAGCCAGTATGTACCCAACATATACACGCACCCATAGCCAGCAAACACCCAGTGGTGCACACCTAGTACACCACACCACAAACCTCTTAATGCCAACGGACAAGGGGGTGCAGAGGGGTCACTGGACTCTCCTGATTCTGGTGTATACATTCTGGTTCACCAAAGCATATTGTGGGAGGTCTCAAATAAAAGCTGGTGTCACACTGGTCAGTAATATCGTTGTGAAATGTACCTACAGATACTATGTAAAGAGTTATGTAGATATACTGAAAATATACTCAAGACTGTGTCTAGAGACTTGGCACCAGCAAAGAAAAAGAACAGGTTTCTCTCCAACAAGAAATGTTTCTCTATCTGAAAGTTTGCACATAAATTAAGCATTGTATGCTTCACAGTGGGTGCCTTATCACCAGTCTGGACTGAAAGCAAATGAAGGATTGTAAGAATTTCAAAAGAAACTAAATAGGAAGAACAAAGCAGCTGGGGGGTGAGAGACACCTTATCGGCAGGTAAACATCAAAGGGTTGAGCCACTGTGTTTTGGAGGCAAAGATAGCCAGGCACCCTTCACTGAGGAAGAAAAAGGACAACACTTTTGTTTCATGGAAAAGGGATAGGAGTGTGGTTGAGGCTGGTATGGGTTGGTGAGGGGGTATGGCCATGCAGGCTGATGCATGGGAACATGGCAATGCGTTGTTGGGACTGGTGTGGGTTGTATGGGAACAAGCATGGCCTATGGGACCGGAGTGTGGCCACGCGGGCTGAGGCTGCTGTGGGCTGTAGAGGAGGAGGTGTGGCCTGTGGGATAGGGGCTCAGGCTAGCACAGGTGGTATGAGAGAGGGCATGACCCATGGGATAGGGTTGTGGCCATGCATTGCTGCGGGAGACAGTGTCTAAATTAGCTGTTACCACTTAAGAAAGAAATCTTGGAGTCATCATTTATAGTCCTCTGAAAACATCTGCCCAAAGTGCAGCAGCAGTCAAAAAAAGCGAACAGAGTATTTTGAACCATTAGGAAAGGGATAGATAATAAGACAGTAAATATCATAATGCCATTGGATAAATCCATTGTATGCCCACACCTTGTCACCACATCCCAAAAACATATATTAGAATTGGAAAAGGTACAGAGAAGGACAACAGATGACACAAATTTGGGGGAGTGGTAAGTAATGAAAAGGTCACTGATTCAGATCACTTGGTAAACTGGGCACAAGCAAACAATACGTGTTTTAATACAATTAAGTGTAAATGTGTACAACTGGAAGCAAATACTGTAATACTCACAGGACAGGGGCTCTATCCTGGGAAGTAGTGACTCTGAAAAAGATGTGGGAGTCATGGTGGATAATCAGCAGAACATGCGCTCCCAGTGTGAGACTGGGGTCAAAAGAGCTAATGTGATCCTGGGCTGCATAAACTGGGGAATCTCACGTAGGAGCAGAGAGGTTGTTTTACCTCTGTATTTGGCACTGGTGCAACCACTGCTGGAATCCTGTGTCCAGTTCTGGTGCCCACAATTCATGAAGGATGTTTATAAACTGGAGCAGATTCAGAGAAGATCCATGAGCATGATTAAAGGATTAGAAGTATGCCTAATAGTGACAGACTCAAGGAGCTCAATCTATTTATCTTAACAAAGAGAAGATTAAGGGGTGACTTGATCACAGTCTATGAGCACCTACATGGGAAAGAAATATTTAATAATGGGATCTTCAGTGTAGCAGAGAAATGTCTAACATGATCCAATGGCTGGAGGTTGAAGCGAGACAAATTCAGACTGGAAAATAAGGTGTAGATTTTTAACAGTGAGAGTTATTAACCATCGGAACAATTTTACCAAGGGTGGTGAGTTCTCCATCACTGACAATTTTTAAATCAGACTGGATGTTTTTCTAAAAGATCTGCTCTGGGAATTGTTTTGGGGAAGTCCTCTGGCCTGTGTCATACAGGAGGTGAGGCTAGATGATCACACTGGTCCCTTCTAGCCTTAGAATCTATGAAAAAACAAAATGATGAGGGGAATGGAACAGCTTCCAGACAAGGAGAGATTAAGAAGACTTGGACTGCTCAGCTTAGAAAAGAGACAACTAAGGGGGGATGTGATAGAGGTCTATAAAATCATGACTGGTGTGGAGAAAGCGAGTAAAGAAATATTATTGACCCCTTCACATAAGAGAAGAACCAGGGATCATCCAATGAAATTAATAGGCAGCAGGATTAAGACTAACGTAAGGCAGTACTTCACACCATGCACAGTCAATGTGTGGAACTCATTGCTATGGGTGTTGTGAAGGCCAAAAGTATAACTGGGTTCAAAAAAGAATGAGATAAATTCATGGAGGATACGTCTATCAATGGCTATTAGCCAAGATGGGCAGGGATGCAACCCCTTGTCCTGTGTCTCTAACCTTCTGTATGTCAGAAGCTGGGACTGGATGACAGGAATGGATCATTCGATAGTTGTCCTGTTCTGTTCATTTTCCACTGAAGCATCTGGCACCAACCGCTCAGACCAGACACTGAGCTGGATGGACCATTGGTCCGATCCAACATGGACGTTTTTATGTTATGGGGGAGGCAGCTCTGGACATTCCTTGCTCAGGATGTGCATTGCTGAGGAGAGGGATGGGCTGTCTGTGACCTCTGCTCGAGGGGGGCTGTTTCCTGCAGGGGCCTGAGCCCAACCCTTGCAAAGTGGAGTCCTCCCCCAAGTCCTTTGCCACAGCCTCAGCACTGGCCCTCAGCCTCCTGGGCCTGGCTGCCCCAGCATGTGCAGCAGGGCTGACAGAGGCGTCATTGTGGGAGCGCTGGCTGGGCAGGCGGGGAGCTCCCAGCACACACAGCTGCTCACAGCCCCTGCCAAGTTGGATTTCCTGTTGTTTACTGCCTGGCTGTCAGGGCAGTGCTCCCTCCTCCCAGCCTGGCCTAGCCTGGCCCCGCAGCGTAGGGACACAGGGCCCTTTGCAGAACGGGGCCCACCCGCTATGTACAGCCCCCGCCTCCCACAGCCTCCTCCTGGGAACGAGCCCATAGACCAGCATCACATGGGCACACCAAACGTGGGACTGCAGAGAAGTGGAGACCTCCACTGTTTCCCTCCCCACAAATGCACATACCCTGCTCCTCTCCCCCGCACACTCCATTGCCCCATACCTCCTTCCCACTCCTTGCTCCCTCCCACACACATTGCCCCCCCAACCCCCTGCTCCCCACACATCCTCCCCGCTCCCCCCACACGCACCCTGCTCCCCCCACACATGCACCCTACTCCCCATCTACACGCCACCCTGTTCCTCCCACACACGCATCCCTCTCTCCACTCACAGACACCCTGCTCCCCACTCACAGTCACCCTGCTCTTTCCACACACGCACCCTCTCTCCACTCAGAGACACCCTGCTCCTCACTTCCTCCCACACATCCCCTACTCTACCCCACACTCCCTACTCCCCGTTTCCAACACACACACACCCTGTTGCTTGCTGGCCTCACACTGTGGCTTCTCCACACACCCCCACACAGACCCCGTTCCCCTACACACACACACCCAGCTCCTTGCTCCCCACCCACACCCTGCTCCCCCTACACATGCCAACGCTCCCCACTCCCCTGACACACAGACCCCACTGCCCCCTCACATCTTCCCCACTCCCCCACGCAGACACCCTCATCATAGAATATCAGGGTTGGAAGGGACCTCAGGAGATCATCTAGTCCAACCCCCTGCTCAAAGCAGGACCAATCCCCAATTTTTGCCCCAGATCCCTAAATGGCCCCCTCAAGGATTGAGCTCACAATCCTGGGTTTAGCAGGCCAATGCTCAAACCACTGAGCTCTCCCCCCCTTGTTACCCTCCCCAACACACACCTCATTGCTCCCTTACACCATGTCTGCTCCTCGCTCACCACCACACCCCACTCCCCCCACAGACCACTGCCTCTCACATCTTCTCCGCTCCTTGCTCCCCCCCGCCCCACTCCTTGCTACCCTCCCCTCCCACACACATGTGCACCACATTACTGTCCCCCCCACATCCTCCCTGCTCCTCACACACATGCACACCTGCCTCCCCCTCCCACACACACATGTGCACCCCACTCCCGACACCCACACACCCCCATTCCTTGGCACACCTGCTGGAGCTGGGCGAGATCTCTACCCACAGATGCTGGGGAGCTGAGGGGCAGGATGAAGCTGGTTGAATCACAGGGGACCAGAGTGGGGGGAGTGGAGAACAAGAAGGAGCCAAGGGTGGGTTTACAGGGGGGCAGTGGAGATTGGCCAATTGCTGTGGCAGGAGGACGGCTTAACGGCCATTGGCTGGAGGGGTTGATGTGGGTGTCAAAATCCGACCCAGAATCCCCCCATTTGAGAGGTGGGAGATTTCCCCAGACTCCTAGGGCCCAGGACCCTACAAAAAGGGCAGTATGTGTGCCACACCCAGCATGGACCCCGCAGAAGGGCGGACCCATGCCAGTCAGGTTCAATCCCCCAGAGCTCCTGGGCAATGGGGCTGCTGGATCTGAGCGGGGGGACAGGTGGGGCGGGGGAAACGGGTTCTGGGGCTGCACGGGGGGAAGGGAGACCAGAGCTGGGTCTGCACAAAGGGGACAGGCGAGCCTGGAGCCACTGCATCTCTATGGGGAGATGGGAGGAGCTGGGGCCACTGGGATGGGGGGAGGCATGGGGTGATGGGTGGGGATGGAGCCATTGGGACCACACGGGAGACGGGTGAGGGCGGGGGCAGCTGGGTCTGCACGGGGGGACTGTGGCCGTTGGGTCTGAATGGGTGGGGAGCAGGTAGGGCTGGGACGATGGGGTTGACGCCACT